ATTTTTAGTAAAAATAATTATTTTAATGTTTTATTATATACATGTTAAAAATTTATTTTTAACACGTAATAAAAATTTATATATAATAAATTTTTATGAAAATTGTATCATCCAATAAATTAAAAATAACATATTAATATTAAATATTATGTTTTTAAAAAATTAATAATTCTTAATTTTTATTTAATTTACACACATTTGTTATTTGATGAAGACCAACCAAGAGCTTCCAAAGTTCAACTTGAATAGCAAATTCAACATGAATAGCGAAATAAGGGTTGAGCTTACACATTAAATCTATAAGAAAATTTTCTAGAGTTTCTAATGAGACCTTTGCAAGTTGTTTTCCAAAAAACTATATTGGCAAAACCATTCTCATTGAGCTATTGTTTGGGGAGGGGGAGGATCCGGCCTATCATATTTTATTTATTTTAGAGAACTTATGAATAGAATAGAAAGTACTGGTTAGTTAAAATTTTAATTTTAAAAAAATATTGACAACTAGTCTTTATTTACTTAAGCTATATTACAAAGGAGAGATTATAGAAGCCTAAAATTTTTATTACCACTCTCCATTTATAAAGTATTAGTTGAGCCATGCTTCGTTATCTCTTATATTGATCTTTATTGGTTCCTGAAAATTTAAATAATGCATGACAGAACTAAGAAGAAATTAGATTTTAACCTTAAGACATCTGACACAACATTAGGCTCTATTAGTGGATTATTAATTTGACTAAGTATATAGATAATATCACCAATAAAGATTATGGTATGATTCATAGTATTAAAATTTCATCTTCCTCCTCTCGAGGATAATACCATGCACTCTTGTGCTTCACCCCTGAAGGTCATTTTGTTTCTCATGATGATATGGAAACATCACAAAATGGTAAGTGAGTACACATAACCCATAAACTATATCTCACAAAGAAATATACAATACTAATTAGTAAAATAATCATAACTATTATATAAGATTTCATGGCTTATCAATTTTCTAATAGTCTTTCCTTTTAAATTCTTCATACAATAATCGATTATATATTATTATTTTAAGTTTTATGGTTGAACAAATATGATTTCTGTACCAGTAATTTAGCCAGTGCTAGATAGTACATTGATCTCTTCATAATCTTCATTTACTATGTACATCATCATTCTGTGTGGTTATTTTTAGCGGTACACACTTAAACCAATCATTAAATACACAAGTATTACTAATTAAGATGGTCTAGCATTTTGTCCCTTATTGCAAACATAGGGTAGCTAGCCCTAGTTTATTGCTAGTGCTCGAGTATCATATTATCCCTATTAGTCATGAACTTGACCAATCACTTTTTGCCCTTCGTTTGTACTAAACATAGTTCAACTATTTGTGTAATTATTATTATTCATTTTAGTACAGTATAGGTAATTTTTTTATAATCCATCACTTTTACTTCAGAAAAGTCATAATAATGCTCATCAAGTATTTTTATGATCTCTTCTTTTAAGAAAAAGATTAATTATTATTATTTTATTTTTCATTCTTCTAAATTTCATCTAGAGTCTCAACTTAAAAAATTTATGATTTTGTTTTTCATTCTTCTAAATTTCATCTAGAGTCTCAACTTGAAAATTTTATAACTAATTCAATTCAAACAAAAAAAATTACAAAACTAATTTTATTATTTTCCTTTAAGTGTCTAATTTTATATATAAATACAAACATAAGTCAAATAGTTAATATATAGGTTACGTATCCCCAGCTTCCACTAAAGGTCATTGACATTAATTTTTAAAAAATATAATAAATAATTTATATTTAATTTATTTTAACTCTAAATTTAATTAAATCAATTTTTATTTACTCTTAAAATAGTCTTTTATTTAAATTAAATATAAAAAAATTATCTAAAAATATGTCTAATACTTTTTAAATTACAACGAGGTTTATATCTTTTGCAAAAATTACAAGTAAATTCATCTAATCGTTAAATTTCTAAAGTTTTCTAGTGTTTTCCTAGGACACACATGTTCTAATCCCTTCTTTATATTACTTAAAAGAATTTAAGTTATAATTACCTTTCTTAACCAAAAATATCTAGAATACAAATTGAATTTGAATTCTTCCTAATTCAATTTGAATTTCTCTATTCTATTTCCTTCAAGGTTCCTTACCATTTTCTTTAAATTTTCATACAAAATCTTGTGGTCCTACAAAGAGTTAGGTTAGTTTTTAACAAAAATTGAATTTACAGCAACAAAATTTAGTGTTTTATCAAAAGTCAATTTTTACAAAGAAATTTTAAAACAAAATGTCAGTAAATAATCTTAAATCTTTTAAACCAATAACTATCTATTAAATTTAACTAAAGGAATAAAAAATTCTTTTGACTCAAAATTTAATTAACACATCTATTTTTTTAGCTTATAAAATTTTATGTCACTGGTAAGCGATTATTGTTTCTTCTTCTTTTAGTTTCTTTGACACTTCAAGAGACTACTCCTAATCCTCTTAGAACCTTTATTTTATGTGAATTATGGTGTATGATTGCAATTAGCCCACAGAACGGTGCATTTAATGGTGGCATATATATATATATAGTATTTATTTATTATTTTTAAATTTTAAAAAATAAATTAATCACGTTGAAAGATGATAAAAGACAGGTTAGACTCGTTGGCATCCCCTGTGCACAATTTGAATGGTTAACAGTATTGTCTCAGTCTATAGTCTTTTGTTAGGTAATGAAAGATCTTCTCAAATTTTGTCATTGACGATGATACGTACTTCATTAGAAGTGCACGTGAATAGTTTGTGAAAATTAAATGGCAATTCTTTTAAATTATTTTAATAAATTATACTACAATTTTTAATATAATTTATTAAAATAAATTATTTTTAACTTATTATAATACTTTTAACGATAAATATGTAATATAAATTATTGTTTAAAAATGATTAAATAAATTGTATAGTAAATGTTCTGAGAGCAATTAGCTGAACCACTCATGTTACTGCAATTATTGTAGACATTTGAATTTTCTCACATGACTAAATAGCATGAAAATGTCATGTTATAAAAGAAAAAGGAAAACAATATGAATGATATGCTTAATAATCATAGTTCAGTTATTATTATTATTAGCCAATTTTAGATGAGATTTCTACGTAAGTATTTATAAGAAAAAACTAATTTTTTTATAAGTTTAAAATAATTTATATTTTAAATTATAGTGAAATTAAATAAAATAATTTTTTTAAATATATAAGTTAATTTTAATTTATAATTTTTTTATTTTTTAAAGATTTATCCTCAAGTTCACCCAAACTGGATTATAAATATAATAATTTTCATTGTAATTATAATATTAGTACCAAGTTAATTTATTTCAATAACTCAATCATATATATAATTTAAATTTAATTATTTTTAATTTTAAATTAAAGGAACATTTAATATATGATTATTTTAGTTTATTATTTTAAAATTAACTATTTCTTTCTTTCAGTTTTATGATAGAAATTTTAAAAAGTAAGCATTTTTTTGTAAACTAAATCAAATATGCTCTTAGTTAAGTAGAAAATGTTAATTTTAATTTGTAAGTTTCATTTTAAATATTTAAAAGTAATAAATTTTTATTAAAAATATTTATTATATGAAAAAATATACAAGTATAATAATTAATTTTTTTTAATTTTATGCTACTCAAACAATCGTAAAACAACTTCACAGTAGTTGTGATTTTATGAATTCATTTATTTGTTTATGTTAATTAAATGAATGTGTGTGACTATGACTATTTTTGTTTTTCTAATAGTTAAGTAACAAGTTACACAGGAAAATGTAACCATACTGATATCATAAATAAGTTTAGAATTACAATAAAACTTTCTTTCTAACTAAAACTTAAATTAATTGAATTGCTTACTGATTAATCCCATTTATAAAAAAAAATAAAATTCAAGGATATAAACTTTTTGTTATTTTCAATTAAGTGAATATAAAGCTTATTCTGTTTGTTTTATACATGTATTTTAAGCATTTTCATTTGCTGATCCACTTTACCGTAATTAATTGGTAATTTGTACGGCGTGTGATTAGTAATTTATTTTAAAAAATTATAAATATCTTTTAATTTTTAAAATATTAAACTAATTATTACATTTGAAAATAATATACAATATTCTCTAAAACTTATGAATATTATAGCAAACATTTATTTAATTTTTCTTCATTTTTCATTAAGTCCAATCATATAATAATAACACAAATACAACTCAAATAATTAATCAATTTTTATAAAAAAAATGATTTAGTCAACTTTTAATACGTATACTTGAGTTTAAACATAAAAAATATATTTTATTCAAAAATAAAATATTTATTAGACATTTTCGTTTTCAAGGTAATTTCTTTTATAATAAAATTTTATCAATCTTAATTGCTTATTATTAACTTTAGAGGTGAGGTTAATGTTTTTGAAAAATCAATAATTTAGTTTTAGTTTTTATATTTTGATAAAGTTTTAATTTATTTAATTCTTAAAAAATAGACTTTAATTTAAATTTTTTAAATATAATATTTTTAGTTTCTAGTAAGCGTGTAGTTAATTAAGAAACGGTCACGAAGCAATTTTTTATCTCACATATCATTTTTTTAAGTTATATTAATAAAAAAATAAAAGTGATGAATTTTTAAAATAATTAAAGACTACAAATAAAAAATCAAATTAAAATTTCACAAAAATATGAAAAACATATATAAGACAAAATAAATAATAAGTTTTCAATATATAACAAAAAACACACAGTAAAAAATTATATATAATAAATTTTTATTAAAATTAAAAAATTTATAAGTTTAAAAATTTTATAATAATATTAAACATTATAATTTTTAATAATTTTTTATTACGTTGCCTTATAAATACACGTAAAAAATCGAATAAATAAAAGTGTTGAATTTTAGGATCCGTCGAAAAACCCGACCCGATTCATTTTGAAAATTTGAAAACAAAGCGGTGCTTGTCGTCTCGTGTCCCTTTTAGGAGCCCTAATTTGAATTTCTCAGACACTCCCAAAGATATCGGTTTCGAAAAATGGAGGCTCTGTACACAAAGCTTTATGACAAGTACACCAAACTCAAGGTCTCTCTCACTCTCATCTTCACTGTGCTATTTGTTAGGCTCTTTTTTTTTATTATTTCTCTCTTTCATTTCTCGTTTCAGACTAAGAAATTCTCCGATTTGGATGACCTAAATAAAGAACAAGAACATAAATTCATCAATTGCTTGTCTGGTACGTTTCTTCTTTATTCCTTCAATTCGACAACAGCACTTTCTCAGTTTCCATCACTCTGAATTTGCAGCCGCGGAAGAGTTAATAGCGCATTTGAAGAACGAAAGCGAAGAGCTGCAAGGACAAGTCAATGATTTGAGAACTGAACTCACTTCACTTAGGCACGTTTTCCACAATGCAGCTTCAATTTTCTTTTGTAGGTTTTTTGAAGTTGTAGATTCTTCGATTTCTTTCGTTGTGTGAGCTGTGGAAAATTCAAGTTTGTTACTTTAAATGCCAGGGTTGCCAAAGACAAACAAATCGCGGATTATCAGAGGCTTTTGATGGAGGAAAGCAAAAAAAGTGAGACTCTTGTAATTAAACACTTGTCGTGTTGATCGCATCCTTTTTTCCTCAGAATTTGAGTTGTTTGAAGTTCAACTTATCTTTTTCTTATTTAAAATTAGAAATTTTGCCACCTTTGTTCTTAGTGGATGGAATATATTGTGTGTTGCTTAAATTAAAGAATTTACCACAGTATGTCCATGCCTATCCTTAAATTTATGATTAATCTCGATTTCATTTATTCTTCTTCTCTATTGATGATTTGGTTGTGAACATTTGGCAGATGAAGCTCTTTCTGAAGAAGTTGAAAAATTGCTAAAGCTGCGCCAGGAAGGAACTCCTCATGATTTAAATAATAGCGGTATGATCATGAATGAAGATGATCAACTTAAGGGTAACTCCGATAGCTCATCTATGAGAATGACAAGAAAACGTTCAAGGCAGAACGCGTTGGAAAAAGAAGCAAGGTTTATATCATGTGAAAATGATGAAGGTAATTCTTTGGAGAGAGCATCAACACAAAACATTTTCAAGGAGGCTGCTTCTGGTAAGGTGAGCATTTAGTTAGAATCTTAGAAATGGAATATACAAGTGTAATATGTGTTTCTTTATATGAATGTATAATCATATGTATACATTTCATTCATTGGGGAAAATGTATTCACCTTATTATGCTGACATTTTGCTGTGAAAAAGCTGCTGGAGAGCTGTACTAGGGCTAATGATCAATCAGGTTGGTGTCAGCTATTGTTGTTCGTGCTTTATGTGAGAATTGTTTAATTGGGAATTTGGTATATTTTATATGACCATCATTGTGTTTTACAGGCATCGATTTAAAGGAAAGTGGTCGTCGTAACTGGCTTATTCAAGTTCTTTTTGAGCATGCACTGGGCATGAAATTATCCACTGACTATCAAACTGGACAAATATGCCTCTCTGCACTGCATCAATCAAGCGGTAATTTTGGATTGCAATTGATTTATTTATCGTATTGTTTCTAAATCTTATTTGGAATATTAGTAATTAATATGCTTGGGCTTGGCTATATTTTTTCAATCTGATTATATTTCTGGAAGATTCCAGTTGCTGGATTTCAATCTAGTGTGTAATGTGCACAAACAGCGACCATAGCCACGAGATGAGCATAAAACACAGCACTAAAAGATATAGACAATGGGTGAAGATACTTGTCATATTATCCATACCTGAGATAGACATATCACAGATGCTGGTAGAATGGGACTGAGCTGACAAGAAACAATGAGATGCACAGTTGCTAATGAAATTTTCCTCTTTCTCATCTTCCTGGCTATAATTTTCTCACATTTTCTCTTTAAATAAACAGGATTTCTTTTGGTGGGCTAAACCAACAAGTGTCAGATTCTGGACACTTGCTGATTTTTAACTCTGAAGAGTTATTTTATTCTCAATTTAGTAAGAACTTCATGAACGACAACATAAGAGTTCATTTTCATTAGTATGCCATTCTTCGACAAAGCTAATTTTGGTTGGAGTTTAAGAGGATTTTTACTGCTACATCTTATGTTACTGTTTAAATTTTAAATACAATTCTAGCCATTTAACATTTTACAGATATGTAACTGCTTGTTTAATAGGTTTCTTTTATTACAACCATAATAGGTTACTCCTTCAGTTTATCGTGGATTAGCAAATCACCAGAAGAGGAAGCAGAGCTATTCTACCATGTTTTATCTCTTGGCACGTTTGAAAGAGTAGCACCAGAATGGATGAGGGAGGACATCATATTTAGCCCTAGCATGTGCCCCATCTTCTTTGAAAGGGTATCTCATGTTATCAAATTGAATCACTAATGTTTTTCTAGCTTTGAATTCCTTAAGCCTCTCCCCCCGGTTCCCAAATCCTCTTAATGTACCTTTGCTGTATATATTTCCTGTATCATTATTATTCGGAAAACATTTAGTCGAGTTTTGCGTGTAGATTTGCTTGCTTTTCCCGAATCCCTTTTCCTTTGCCATTTGCAAATTCTAAGAATTTGTGAGAACATTTGGAGTAACTTTACTGAGCGAGAATGTAACATTGCTAATTTCTTATCATATACTAAAGCAAGAGGTTGGGTAAGCCTATAAAAGTGATTTATAATTCTTCATACATTTCTTTTAGTTATTTCAATAAGTTTTATGGTAAAGTTAATTAAAATTAGCGCACATTGTAAGCTCTTATTAAATAGACAATCAATTTGTTTGCCTACATATGCTAGAGTCACACAGCTTTTGTTAAATGGGGAAATGGCGATTAATTCTGCTTTGTTAGTCTGATTTGCAGACGGCAAAGACGGTTGGTCTGCCAAAAAAAGAGGTGGGAAAATCAATCCATCCCATTCTATGATAGGTTGACAAGCTAACTCACTTAAATAATATAAATAAAAGATAAAAATTGTGTTTGCAAGAAGTAATTATTTACTTTTTGTCTGTTTTATCAAAGAGTTCTCTAAAAGAAAGCGATTATTGTTATAGATTTAGTGATGCATGTAACGATCAAGAAAAAAAGAAAAAGAATTAGTATAAGGTAAATGTAATAATTAGGATTTATAAAAATAATAATTTATCAAATGGTTATTAGGAATGAAGTTTCTCCTTGTCTCATACATGTTGGTTTAGTCAATAAACTATTTAACATTATATTATATTATTCCTCGTACATTTCTGTAATATAAATGGTATTGAATGAATTCATCAATTATTAATTCATTAATTATAATGATAAAAATAATTATTTAACAAATTTAAGTAAAATTTGATAATTTTTACTTAGTTGATTAAATATTCAATAAATTTTGCTATTAGCAATCAATTAAATATATAACTTAATAACTTATAATTAAATAGTTAATATATTTTAATATAATTAACTAATTAATTTTTTTAATTACAGATGTTTGGTAAATTTATTAATGACAAGGTTTTATATTAAATATTAATTATTGAAAATTACAAATATTAAATATAAAACAAAACCCGGGGAGGGTATTCCTCTGCTTGCCATAAATCAATCACGTATAGTCCTTTAGAAACGAATCAAAGTGTAGTGACTGTTCGACAGCTTTAAAGATTATTTACTAAAAATCAAGTCAAACATCAAACATATTCCCTAAAAACAAGTTACCTTATTCTTATGTAAATTCTTTTGTTTTAATCCCTCTCATATTATTATCTGTTTTTAGATTAAATATATATTTTATTAAAAATAATCTTTTTCTAGTCAAGTAAAACCACTCGCTAGAATAACTCAATGTTAATTAATTCAAGTGTTTACTAGACAAGTTTCTGTTTTCTGAGAAGTTAAATCAGTAAAAACGACTAAAATAAAAAAAAATACAAAAAAATAAGAAATAAAACTAAAAAAGAGTTTATACAAAATAAAATTAAAACTTTATAAAAATAAAAAATATAATTAAGCCATCTAAAAATATATTTTTAATTTAAGTTAAATAAAACTAATTTTGAAAAGGTTAACTTTAAATTTGTGACTGAAATATTTTTATGTAAATGTATATTTTTGTTGTAAAATAATTTCCTAAATAAAAAAAAACAGGCCCATAATAAATTAAAAGCACGCAAACCGAAATCGGGTTTTGCAGGGTGGGTTAGGCAAGTGATGAATGTAAAATCGCGTTGAGTAATGAGTTTCTTGCAGGGAATCATTGATTCCTTCAATTCCATCTTCACCCCCCACAATTCTTCTTCTTCTGAAACCGATCGAATGGAAGCGTCTCCTACTCCTACTCCTACTCCTCCTCCTTCTTCTTCTTCTGTTTCGAACGAACGCGTCGCTTACAAGCTCCAAGGCTACTTTGATTTGGCGACGCAAGAGATCGCGAAGGGCGTTAGGGCAGAAGAATGGGGTTTGATCGACGACGCTCTTCTTCACTATAAGAACGCTCACACCATTCTCCTTGAAGCTAATTCTACTCCTGTTCCTTCCTTTATCACTTCCAGGTTCCCACAATTTTAATTTTATGCCTCTTTGCCTTTCCTATTAGTGTTGCATTCTATTTTTAAAATGAAATTGAGTGAAAATGGAGTTTCCTTATACATTCAATCTTCTCAATTGAATTTTTAGTGACAAAGTAGGGGATTTTGGGATTGTTTTTCTCTTGCATTTTTGTTCCTCTTTTAAAGTTTTTCAGCTTACAAATTCCACCAAAATTCAGTTATTTAGGTTAAGCGTTTATTTAATAAGCATTTCTTACAAATTTTATCACCAAATTTATTGACACGAGCTGAAAATAGCTTATTTTGACAAGTTATACAAAGAAGTTTATTGAAATAAGCTTAAAAGAGCTTACGAGAGTCATAACTCATTAGCTATTTTTATAAGCTCTCTGTAAGCTCTTTCAAACACACCTTTGTTCGTAAAGGAGAGTTTTTGGCTTTATAGATGCTCAAATGTAGTCCATCACTTCATTCACACGTTATTGTTAATGATGTGATGAGAAAGGATGGTTCTACATTATAATAATATGATTTTATTTTATTTTTTGGCTTACTGAAAGCTATGATTTTGTGGCAGTGAACAACAGAAGGTGAAATCATATCGTCAAAAGATATCAAAATGGCAGGGTCAAATTTCTGAGAGATTACAGACTCTCAGTAGACGTGCAGGTTTGTATTTGTTTGAGAAACTGTATTTTGTTTTCAGATACCAATTATGAATTTCCTGAGAGTGCTTACTGATTCTCATTATCTTCCGCTTCTTCCTTTTCCATTTCCCCCCTTTCCATTTCAGGTAGCTCATCTGCTAATCAGGTATGCTATGATCACTCTAAACTGTAAGTACAGAGCTTTCTCTTTTAGTTTATTTGGTGCAATGTAGTTAATGCTTCTCAAAACAGGTGTTACTAGCATTGTAACTAATAATTTTTCACTTTCGGATTCTAAAATTTAAGCATCTTTTGGTTAACACTGCAAACTATTTTTTAAAGAATACATTAACTGTTAGCATTGTATTTTGTATCATAAATGAGGGGCTTAGTATTAGACTTCCTTGTAGATGGTTATACTTGTCATTTTAAGATTAAATATATTGGCTCATGTTGTGTGTTTGCTTTGGACTTTTCAGTAAGCCTGTTAAATTACAACCATCAAATGTTGTCACTAGGGCACTAATTTTATGATTATAATGAACCTTTAACGTTTTTTTCCTTTTCCCCCCTAAAATGTTTGCAGAGCACCTCCAACCTTGCGCAGACTGCTGCAGTTCCAATTAAGCTATCAAATACTAGAAAAAATGTGTTACAAAAACACCCTCAAAGTACAGGTCAGGTGAATAAAGTTGCAAGCCCGAAATCTAATCAAGCATCTGGTGTAAATAATGACACCAAACTGGTTGAAATGATCAACACAGCCATAGTAGATAGAAGTCCTTCTGTTAGATGGGAAGATGTTGGTAAGATGTGCACATTTGCTTTTCTTCCTTTCATATGTTATCATTTGTTTGATTATCAGTGTGGAAATGCAGCTGGGCTTGAGAAGGCAAAGCAAGCTTTAATGGAGATGGTTATTTTGCCAACTAAGAGAAGAGACTTGTTCACTGGTCTTCGAAAACCTGCTAGAGGTAATACCTTGGATTTGGTTACATATTGGATAATGGGGAAAAGGCAGAATGGAAATGCCAAACATTGAAACTGATGAATCCTTTTGATTCTAGGTTTGCTTCTCTTTGGTCCACCTGGTAATGGAAAGACAATGCTTGCCAAAGCAGTAGCTTCAGAATCAGAAGCAACATTTTTTAACGTATCAGCGGCTTCCTTGACGTCAAAATGGGTATTTCTCTATAAATGTATCAGATGAAATTATAGGGTTATAACCTTTTAGGTGTAGAGGGAGTACAAATAATGATGTGTTATAAAAACATAAAGCACCATCCCTTATTTATACTATAAGGAAACAAATAATGAAATATGCTTGTTAATTGTGGAGATAATCCAAGATATTGTAAGTTAATCTAAGATACAATCTAGATATTGTTGGATATTTGTCATATATTCATGTAACAGTAATTTTTTTATAACACTACAAAGTTTTGCCTATGTTTAACTTGTTCTCTATAGGTGGGTGAAGGTGAAAAGCTAGTTCGGACACTATTCATGGTAGCTATATCCCGACAGCCATCTGTAATTTTCATTGATGAGGTATTTCTCTTGTGTATACTATAGAGTGGAGAAATTGCTCTACTCCACCTGTTTTCCTACTTAACATGACAAGACAGACTATCATGAAAGAATACATTCAGAAAAATAGTGTAGCTTGCTTTAGAAACAATCAACTACATCAAAATCAATTCTGCAAGGGCATGGTTTGATAACTCTTCAAACATGTCTAACTGCCCCCCACATTTCAATGATATTTGTTTTCTTAATGCCTTGCTAGTTAAATTAGCAAATTTATCATGCAGATAGAAAAGATTGTATGCTCAGTATAAAAAATTTTCTTGATTTCAAAACATATTAATTTCCCTTTTTAACTGATAACAGATTGATAGTATAATGTCAACAAGGTTGGCAAATGAGAATGATGCCAGTAGACGATTAAAATCTGAATTTCTTATCCAGTTTGATGGGGTGACCTCCAATCCCGATGATATTGTGATTGTAATTGGTAAGTGTTACATTTGAACATTCTGAACTGGTACTTTGCAGAATAACATGCCTACGATGAACAAGGCTCTGGTTTAGTATTTTGGTTACAGTTGCAATTGCTGGTCTCAGTTCCCATTTGGCATATGAATTTGATGAAGTACTAATTTATGAAGTAATGTCGTTTTGTTATTGGAGCATTTATAGTGCAATTATATTTGGTTGATGAGCAATTATAATCTCATCTTTTTTTAACACAACTGATTAGATTTTCCTTTCTTTTTACTCTTCTAAATTCATTTATATTTCTTACATTGTGGTATGTTAATAAGAACAATATTAGTTTCTTTACTGGCTGGGTTGACATTGTAATCTGGCCTCTTAAGACTGTCGCATCTTTATATAATTAATATAAGACTGAATTTAGTTATTATAGATGTAGTGTTGCTTGCTTTATCATTTTTTTTATTTCATAATATCATGTGAGCTTGATTACAAACCAGCGAATTCCTGGTTGTGTATCTATTAAGTCTTATTAAACTCATAAATTTCCTTTTCTTTGTTAATATAGGTGCAACAAATAAGCCACAAGAATTGGATGATGCAGTTCTTAGGAGACTGGTGAGAATTTCTTCAATGTCCTATACTGGAACTGTAGAAAATATAATTAATTCCAGAATGTGATGTTGCTGGTATGACTTTAAATGTAAAATGTTTATTGCTGTTAGATATAAATTATCTTCTAATTTTATTCTCATGAGTGCATTCTTTATGATTTGTTTTTATCCAATTTTTATTATGTCTAGTAATAGGATTGGTTGTTATAACTTATATCTTAATTCTATGATTCGATCATACAGTCTAGGATGCTTGTTTTAAAAGATGCTTGCTACAATATCCATAAACTTGAGAGGGTATAATATACTCTCTCTAAATTGATGGTTGTAATTTTTCTGATATCTTAAAGATTGAAGGGTATTTACATCTTTTCCAAATAAACCACTAATTCCACTACTTATTGATATAAATTTAATGGTGAAATTGTTCTATGTATGAGAGGGTATAAAGTACCCTCTCAATTTACAAGGCACCATATAAATTACCATTTTAAAATGGTCAAATTAAAGAGAAACTTTTGGTTGATAATATTATGTTGCATATATACCTTTGTTAATTGTAACTTGTCTTTTATGGGCTGTCTGACCATTATAGACAAAAATTCAAAAAAAAAATTCCCAGATTTAGTATAGTTGGCAAACAAATTACCAAGGACAAAATAAACAGTGTAAAAGCTACAAAATTCATGTTCAATAAGCACAACAAAACTAGATTAGGAAAAATGGCGCAACTACATTTGTTACTTTCAGTCGATAGACACCATTCAATGGCAGAATGACATGTGGTAACACTCCATTTGTTGCACCCGGTCAATAAGGGTCACTCTTTGGGAAGCTGAAACATGGCATGTAGAGTGATTTCTCCTTGATAGGCACCACTCTCTCTGCTCAAGACACATGGTGCATATGCATTGTGACTCTTTGACAGGGGCAAGCTGTTTCTTACACGTGCAGTTTGGGAGGTGGAACGAAGCTTAAATATTGGTTTTTTTTTTTTCCTCTAGTTCTGTGTAGGGGACCAAAAATTTTAGTTTAGTGATGGTAGTGTGAAGAGGGAGCGATATTTTTTTTTGTTGACCGGAGGGGATTGAGCTTTGGCAAGAGGCACCAAAGTAGATTTTTTTGTTGCATTTTTAGAAGGTATGTGATTAATTTATTATATATACATTTTTTTCTTCAAATAGTTAATAATCTGATTTGTTAAATAATCTTATAAGTTAGTGAAAATTATAAAGAGTTATAATATTTTTTATCATAATAAAATTAAATTATAAATATCATTCTAATCTAAAACTTCATATTTAAACATAATAGAAAATACTAAATTTTTAAATATAATCAGTTACTACTAAATATAATATAATAACAAATTTTAATAGAATTTTGTCCCATTATTACACCAAGCTAAATTTAATTTCAATTAACACAACATTAATATTATTTTAGTAATTATTATAATAAATATAACATATGCAATTATTTTTCAATATTATAATTACAAACTAACAATATTAATATAATTTTACTAATTATAATACTTAATATATTATACCAAATTATTTTCTTTTATTTATTTTTTCACTAAATTCATTATGTTATTAAATTTAATATCTCATTAAGTTATTTAAAATTTATTTTATTTGATATAAAAATATTACAACTCATTTTGTAATTTTCACTAACTTAACTAAATTTTATAAAAATTACTTGAACAACAATATACTTTAGTGTAATTTGAAATAATATGTCAACTAACCTTTTACAACTAAAATAAAACTTAACTAACACATTTATCTTTTTAAAAAATTATTATATTACTAAATTTATTATACTTATAAACTTATTTAAAATTTTATTTTATTATGACATCACAAATAGTACTACATATTTTTTAATTTTCACTAATTTAACTAAATTATATAAATAATTTTTTAAACAATTTTTTTATTTAATTTAAATTTATATGTCAATTAACATTTTATAACTAATAAAATGTTTAATTCACAAATCAGATTATTAACTATTTCAAAAAACATATATATAAAATAAATTAAGCACATATCTTTTTAAAAATGCAGCAAAAAAATTCATTTTAGTATTTCCTGTATAAATTTCCACTGTGTTCACACAACATCGGCCTTGATAAACTAAAAAATTTTGGTCCCCTGTATGCAAATTGTTAGAGGAAAAGGAAACTGGTGTTTAATCTTTGTTCAACCTATCAAACCATACAAAACAGCAGCAAAGGCACCTGTTAAGGAGGAGCTACAATGCATAGCATGCTATTCGAAGTAGAATTAGTAGTATCTGTTAAGGAGGATGTACTTTACATGCGCCCCATTTGTTGGCTCACTAGAAAGTGGTGTCTGTTGATCGGAGCAACAAATGAGGGGGTGTCATTCTGCCATTGAATGACACTTATCAGTTGGGAGTAACAAATATGGTTGTGTCACATGTTCTAATCTGATTTTGTTGCACCTATTGAATGTGAGTTTTGCAATTTTTATACTGTTTATTTTGTCCATTTTGGTAATTTGTTTGCCAATTATCCTAATTTGGGAATATTTTCTGAATATTCATCTATAATGGTAAAAAAAGCCACCATTGGTTCCCATCAGTATTGCATATTATTGATAGTGGTTATAGTGACCTTTGAACCACATGTTGTTTCTTTACTATTATTGGGTTTATTGTGAAATGTTTACCAGGTAAAGAGAATATATGTACCTTTACCAGATGAAAATGTTCGGAAACTTCTGCTAAAACACAAACTCAAGGGTCAAGCATTCTCCTTACCTAGTAAGCATTGTGCTCTTTTTTTTTTTTTTTTTGTGATACTTCTTTTGATGTGTATTCTGTGATGCCTTTTGCTTTCTAGTTATTTAGGGTGTGTTTGGATAAATAGCTTAATTAATCACTTTTTAATATACTCTTGTTACATAAAAGCTTTTGCTTTAAATTTGATCATGAAACTTTTTGAAGTAAGCTAAAAAGAGCTTATCAGAGTTATAAGCTATTTTCATAAGCTTAAATAAATTCCCCATAAGGTTTTCCAATCACACTCTTATTCTTCTAGGGTATTCTGGTTCTATGGTGGCTGGCATGTCGTTCTTCATTTATTCTGGTTGCATGTAACACGTTGCCAAATTTGCTCAAATTGGTTTACTTACTATTTGCCGAACAAGATACTTGATATTGCAGGAAATTTTTACCAGTTGAGTTTGTTTTTTCTTTTTATGCTTTGCACTTTTGTCGTTGACATATTTCATGAGAGAGCTTTGTAATTTTTATTGTTATCATGCTATTACTCGCACAGATGCACTGTTCTGTTTTTAACTACCTTTGGAATTTTATGTTGCAGATAGAGATCTAGAGAGGCTTGTAAAAGAGACAGAAGGTAAGTATTTGTAGCTAAAATATACATTTTCATGATGAGAAAAAAATTAGAACATTGAGATATTCTTTTCTTTTCCTTTTTTTTTTTTTTTTTTTTTTTCCACTTTTAAATATGACCATTGTGTTTGTGTTATTCTTGACCTGTAGGATATTCTGGTAGTGATCTGCAAGCCTTGTGTGAAGAAGCTGCAATGATGCCAATTAGAGAGTTGGGTGCTGACATTCTTACTGTTAAGGCTAATCAGGCATGCTAGTTTGAAATTTACGCTGTTCTTGGATGTGGATCAGTATAATCTTGCAAGGGACTGGTAAACCTTTTTTACTGTTAAAAATTAACTATTTTTTATTCTACCAGGTGAGAGGACTGAGGTATGAGGATTTTAAGAAGGCAATGACTGTGATCAGACCAAGCTTAAACAAAAGTAAATGGGAAGAGCTTGAGCGCTGGAATGAGGAGTTTGGTTCTAATTGAAGTCGCATTCAACACATGCTCGGATGCATGCATATGCACGAAATCCAAAGAAAATAAACTGTCCATAACAGAAAATAGACAAGACAAAGGCTTCAAGGTCAGTGACTAAAATAATGAATCAGGGTGTTGCTTATTTTGTAAATGGGTATCTTGAAACCCTTATCCAGCCTGTTGCCTTGAAGCCTTTATTTTAATTTTGATTCTTTGTATTTCTTTCTAAGATTACTATATCTAATCGCCTTAGGGGTGATTGTAACCCCCGGCCCCTCTGTTTTCTCTCATCTGTAGAGAAAAGTAGTAGATTTGGGGGGAAGAAAAAGTGGGATGATAAAAAATTGATAAATTGTACCAGAAATGAAGGGAGAAAAATATTGAAATGAAAAGGATTTTTTTCTTTCTTTTTAAACGTGACTCTGAATTTTGATGCTTTTAAATCAACTAGTGATTCTTTTGAGACTTTTAATTGAACCGCTGTGGTAGATTTATTACAAGAAATGTATTAACATTAATCTTTGGAATTCAATTTAAGTGATTTTTTGTTGAAACAATTCTTTGATGAACAAGTCTATCTTCTAACTTCGTTAGTTAATATCTATTTCTAGTTACATCTTCCAATATATTTTTTTCAGGAGCAAGTTTTAATAAAATTTGTACTACAAAACTGATTTAATTCAATTCATAAATACGGCAATTGCTTTTATCATTTTTCACGAAGGAACTTAGGAAGGTATGTAAAGTCAAGAACTGTATTAAGGCCAATACATTGATTTTGTCATGGTTCGCAAAATGCGAGGGAACTTTCATTCTCGAAGGCAATCTGAAATTTGTTCCTACTGAAGCACTTGTAGTGTGTTTGAACCAATGAAGTTGTGTAAAAGCCAACTCCAGAATTGATGCATTCGTCCAGTTTCTCATTTTCCTTGGCGGAACTCTGACTTATTTGAATGAAAATATATGTTTCTGGTGAGTACTTTGAATGAATAAAATGGGGAGAAATGAATTTGGTGTGCTTAGGCCGAAAATTTTAAAGATGAAACTTATAAAACAATTGTATAAACTGAAAAGAAAACTATTTTTGTTGGTGCAATTTGGGTCTATATGATGAAAGGATCCTTAAAAGGTAAAAAAGGATGTCAGAAGTGGGATTTGAACCCACGCCCTCTCACGAGGACCAGAACTTGAGTCTGGCGCCTTAGACCACTCGGCCATCCTGACCGGATGGTGGAACTTTGTTTTTTTCTTCTCTCGTACTAATCGTTTCTACTAAAAACCAAAATTTAGTGAATAATCTAACATGATTCAAATTTTTGTTTGAGATGAAAAAAAAAAGTTTTAATGCAAATAATTAAATTTAAATATGAAAATATTAATCTAGAGGAAAATTTAAAATAATAAATTTATACTTTTTAAAAATATAAAATAAATTATAAATAATAGCATCAGCTCGTTATAAAGAAAACTAAAATATAATGAGATATGTTTTTTATTTTTAAGAATGAGACCTTAAATTTATAATATAAAATATGATTAATTTTATTTTTCTTTTCTTAGAAAGTTAGATGGATTATAGTAAGTTATGAAGTGTTTTTTTTTTAGCGTTTTATCTTTACAAGTTGTTTTATTTGGTTTTCTCGAGAACTAAGTACAACATTAATTCTCTTTTCGTAATAACATGTACCCAAAAAAATAACAATGGATTTTGTAAAGGCAACAATCAATTTTATGTTGCATGTCCATTATCACTGTCTACAACCAACTACAATTGGTAGATGACAATTGGGAAATAGCGATGCCAATGAGAATCTTCACCTATGATTAGAATTTGGCATTGTGCAAATTAAGATGTAACATAAAATTTAGCCTTGCATCTCATTATTTCATTGTTCTTGAAGTCTTCATCAGTTTTAGATTGAGAACAAATCTAACACACTATACCATAATATTCTTGAATTTAAGTAAATTTAATGAGTAAAAACTAAAAAATTTGAATCTCATTGTTTTAATAAAATGAGAAATCCACATAAAATTTAAGGAATGTGTTGGCTAAGAGTATGTAAAATGTGTGTTGCTAGCATTCCTGTGTTCTAATAGACAGTGGAATCGTGTATTTGAAATGGAAATAGAGAATAAACTGAAGAAAATATCAACTGAAGTTATACGGGATTTGTTGATAATTGAGATGTTTAATTGAATAACTATTTTGTCACTTCCTGCATTATTTATGTTCATGAGCTTGGATAAAGGCCTAGGAAAAAGTTTCAATAATAATGATGGTGGACTAGCAATCTATATTTCTTTTTTTTTTCCCTCCTTTTTACCCTAGCATATTATTATTTCTTTTATGTTTCTGGTTAATAATTTGTGTTCATTATGGTTTCGCATGCTATATTTGCTTTTGATTTTTGCATTAATTATCTTATACTTGTGTTTGCAGTCTTATAATGGATACTGCAAATGTTCCACAAATGGGGGTATCCCATCTTGAAAAGAAAAGTAATTTCTGAAGTAAGAAACCATTATAATTTTGTCATTCCTGTAATTTTCTAATGGAAAAATATATTCTCATAGTAGTGAATGATGTTGGTGCTTTAGAAAATGGTACGTAGGTTGGCCTTTGTGATAGGAAATTTGAATTTCTCACCACTATTTCATTGATAGTTTCTTTCATTTTCCAACATTGGGAAAATTAGCATTCTAAGAATCAAGATTTGAATTAGGCATAAGAAAATATATACCCAAGATATAGGAATAGACTAGGAATCAGGCAATGTAGGACATATGTATTAGGTAACATCTTTTCCAATGGCATAAAAAGAAAGACAATGCATAAGGTTAATTAATCAAGAATAAATGTTGATATGACACCCTAATCGTGTCAAACAAACAACATATAATGAATCTGCGAGAGTAATATTTTTGGAAATGTTGTGTTGTAGAATAGTTTTTTCTCCCTTTATTTTGAACAACTATATCTAATCCCAAATTTAGCAATAGTTTTTATTAATATCATGTTATTGTTTATATTTTTAAAACTCAAACGAGTCATTTTTAGAAAATTTTCCACATTTCCTAGAAAAACCAGTATGCAAGTGTTGGTTCAATTCACTTGCAATTTGCTAGTTTCATTGGTTGAGATCGTTTCTGAGAAAGGCAATTTCAATGACCTGATTGAAAAGGCTAATAATCTAATTCACAGTTAAATGGGTCGGATCCACAAGTTCAATCAAGTTTTTAGAACATTAATAATTACTAATTCAAGTGTTTATTAGTATTTAATCATAATATATTCTTTAAGAGATATGCTAGTAATATTCTCTGAATTTACATTTTATATTTTAAACTATTAAAGTTAGTTTGTTAAATTTGACGTATTTTAATTATTAAGTTATTATTGTTTGAGTTAAGTTTTGAGTTCGAGTTTTTTATATTTAAAAAAAATTTAATGATAGATTTACTTTGATTAAGATCGAATTCAAATTAATCTGGATGAAAAACAAAAAAAATAAAAAAGAATATAAAACAAAATTTAGTATTTTATTTTATTTTTCTTCCGATTCCATGCAAAACACACATACGAATAATCATAATTAACAATCGCAATTCATTTTCTGATACAGAAGTTAGCACAATACAACAATCTATAGTAGTTTACATGTATATCCCCGTGGGAAGCATCAAACAGGAAGTAAAAATATGTATCGTTTCAAAAAAAAAAATTATATATTTTTTTAATTTAAAAAAATTATTTTTCATCTGATTCAATATTAATCTGACCTGAGTAATATACCTAAATGTGGTAGATAAGTTTATTATTAAAAATTTGTTACATACAAGAGAATTCACACCCAAAATCTTGTTTAACTCATTTTAATAAATTGTTTGATATAACTTATTCAAATTAACTCTTTTTAGTTTATTTGTATAGACAAATTTTATAATCAATAGTTTAGATATTAAATACGTATTTAATTGAGTTTATTTATTTGAATGCACACTATTAATATGACTCATGCAGAATAAGGGTATAAAAAAATTAAAATTTTCGTTAAGTATTTAAATTTGTCTGATGTAAGTGATGATTAACTTATTTACGCAATATCATTTATTTTTATTTAATATTTTATTGTTTCAAGATAGTTTCTTTGAAGAACCATTTAAAGATGAGATTGCTGATATTAACCTTAATAAGAGTGTTGGAACTTAGGTAAGAAGAGACTAGACAAGCATATATACGAGACAGTTCCTTTTTGAAAAGGATGATGCTAAGAAGGGTGGCTATGAAAAGCAGTAAAGTCTACATATAAGTCAATACATTTTTTTAATATATTTTTTAACACATTATTTATCAATGATTAAAATTTGCTTAAACTTAATTAATCCTAATGATTAAGATAAACAAAATAATAAAAAATGTTGTTTACAAATTTCAAGTTACATTTATGAATATACAACTATGTTTAATACCATTTTACTTATTTTCAGTATTAAAACATATGTTATAAACTGAACTAAAGAAAAGATAATTAAATTACAAATATAAAGTTAATTCATTAATTAATAAAAAAATTAAACTAAAGTAATAGATACCATCCAAACAAATGAAGCAGGTCCACTATGTGTTTATAATGCATAGAGTTATGTGAAGAAGGACATAGGCACACACATCACACTATGATTGAGTTAAGTGCGAAACAGCTTCTCATTTTGTATTCATTCACAACCACCATCAAATTGCACCCATGTGTTCCAGAATATGCTTTTCACTTCTTCTTTATTTGTTTCACATTCCAAAATTTAGTGATAAAAAAAGTTGTGTGAAACTTTCTTTTCTTGCTCAAATATTTTTTATTCATAGTCATGCATTATCAAAATTGGCAATGCAAGTGTGAGACTATTCATGGAAATCATTATTGTCTAAAAGAGTAAAAAATTTAATTATTATCAAGTGGTGCACTTGCTGAATAATATTTTTAATTTTCTGATGAATATGCTGTTTGTTTTAATTACTAATTTTGTAAATGAATATGAATTCATCATATTCCAAAGATTCTTAGCTGTTCAATGTTAGTTTTCGCATTGAATTTTGGTGTCTCTGTATTTCATTAAAAGATGTATGTACTTGAAAATGTTGTACCTCTGTAGAAAATAAAATCATTATTACATTAAAAAAAATCGAATTTCTAGTAATGGAAGTTTCATTAAAAAAAATGTATCTATTGTCTATTAACAACCAAAAAATAATTGGTAAAAGAAAGAAGAAATTGAAAAAAGAAAAATAACAAAGAGTGTGTTAGATACTTCATTATTTTGTGTATTACAAAGCAGTAGTTTACAATAACATCACATTTTGTTTTTTTTAAATGTAAATTTAACTTGTTAAAATTTTAGAAGTGAGCTATTTATGAATTTCATAAGCAAGCAAAATCACAAAATTTGGCCCAGATTTCAAAGGTAGAATTTTCAGAAAATTTATTTTATAACGTTGTGAAGTGACTAGCAAGAGATGACAACTGTCATATTTTATTTTCTCTTGACACAAGCAAAGGGATGGAAACTTTTGTGAAGCCAAAGAAAGGCAAAGGAGTTTGATGATAGTAATTCCATGCATGCATGGTCTCATTAATTGGGATAAATAAAAAATGAAAACTTATATAACTTTTATAATAAATTTCTAAAATATTTTTGTAATCTTTTTTATTATATGATCCATTGTATTGTGTATTATTGTGATAATATTTCATAAGAAAATGATATCATGGTGACATTATGATATGAAATAAATGGATGATGGGAAGCACAAGGTCAATGGTCAACATGCTTCCCTCTGCCATTTCCCAATATTATCTTTTTCTTTCCCTTTTAACATTACAGGCACTAAAGTTGGCATCATTGCCTATCCCTTTTAATATATTGCACATTTTTTTCTCATACAAATATACATTTAATGTCTGCTATAGGTTTTAATATTTTTAATTTAAATTATATCTACACAATTAGGTTAAATATTTAGATAAAAAAAATATGTCATCTAGTTATTTTTATTCTATTCAAATATATATTTATCAACTAAAAGAAACATAAATTTCAAATTTGGGACACAACCAATGGTATTGCTATTTTACCCTTTCATTTTTTTTATAACTCCTTTGTACTTTTGTTGGCAGACAATTACTGTACATTTTTTAGTCTTAAAATATGTACCTGCATTGTTAATTACTCTATTATTTTATAATTTTTAAAGACTCTTAAATTATTAATTTCTTTTAAAATTTATTTTCATATTATTTTTTTTAATTTTTTCCTAGGCAAGAGGGTTAATTATACTATTTATTTAAATTCATAATATATATATATATATATATATATCTTATAATTTAAATTTTAAATTTTTATTTGAATAAAAATATTCATATTATAGATAAAATTGATAGTTAAAGTATACAGTTAAAACCGGTTCTAAGAAATTCTATGACGATAACACAATTTACCGGAAAAAAAAAAGGAAAGAAAAGAAAATATGGCATTTATGTTGTGTCCTTGGCAGTTGATCCTAACATTCTTACTTTAATGAAACAATTTTTTTATAGACTTTAATGAAAAATTTTGATATTATATACAAGATTTATTTTTAAAAAATACTTATTTTTTTTAAAAGTGATTGTTTCTTAGAAATAATTTGTTCCAAATTTAGACATAATATAGTTGGATAAACAGAAAAAAAAATGTTAAATTGATTTTTATTATTGTGAGTTTAATCTTAATTGGTTCATATAAATATTATTACACTATAAGTATTTTTACTCTATAAGTATTAGAATTTGTTGAGATATTTTTATACATTTTTTAAAATTATAGTATTTTTAAATAATATTTTATTTATAATGATAAAATGACTAAGTAAAAAGTTATTGTATATATATATTTTTGATCAAGTATCATTCTTTTATTGCATTACATAATTAAAAAAAATATAAAACTGCAATAAAAATAATTTTTAAAAAACAAAAAATTGAGAAAAATATAAATTAGATTGAGCATTGAAGAGTTGAATTTGAAGTTGCGAAAAAGGAGGAAAGTGATGATAGTACATGGAAGTGTTGGAAGAGAGTCAAAAAGAGAAAGAAAATGATTTGAGTGCTCAACTTTCAAACCAGCAGATAAGTCTATCTGCAAACCCATTTATGCTCCCACTTTCTGTTTGCTCACTTCCTGTCACTAACTACCTCCTTGTAACGGTTCTCTTTCAATAATATTTATTATATTTTATAAAAACTTAAAATAAATATATGTTTTTTTTTTCTCTATCTACTACTCACAATAAAATGATCCAAATACGTTAGATAATCTATTTTGTTAACTATAACATGAGAATATAGATAAATCATTGTTCAATCTTATGTTAACAATAAAAATTAAATTTAAAATATTAAATTGATTATATGCACACAAAGTTTAAAAAAAATGTATTTAAACGTTATTACAAATAAATCATGCAAAATTAGTTCATATAATTATTAAATTTTAAATGAGTATTCTCATTATTCTTTACCACCTTTCATACATTGAAATTTCAATCAAATATTCTCTTTTAAATATCTTGATTACAACATTTTTTAATTTATCAATTAAAGTTCATAAAATATTATTATTAATATTGAATTAAAATATTTTATATAACAGAACTAATTCGCTTATTCCATAATAAGTATTGTATACTTACTCTAGTTAATAAACTTTTTATGACTAAATTTTATTAACTCAATTATTTAATCATAAAACATTATATTTTGATTATACATGTTAAACTTTAGACAAAGTAAACATATAAGTATAAAATCAAATGGTCAACGTTTGTTTAAATTTTATAAATTATATATTATATGTTAAAATATAATTATTCTATAAAGTGTTAAATAGTTTTTAAATTTTATAAAATTCTACTTATTAATAACTCTCAAACTAATAATTAAGTTAATAAATAAAATAAATTAATTAAAAAAAATTATAGAGTAAGTGAATTCTTTAACAGTTGATGTAGTTGAATCTTTTTTTTTTATGTAATAACAAATAATAATTGTGTAAATTTTTATGTTTACAAATGAAAATTCCAAATTACTTACATATATTTTAATAATAATTAAAAAATCAAGTAAAATTTTAAAATAATTCTACACATCGTTTAAATGCATATGCATGTGTGATGAAAACTGTCGGTTGGCTTCGGTAGTTAGTAAGATATTACAAGTGAATGTTACAGTTCTTTAATCAATTTGACTTTTAGTTTGAAAAAAAAAACATTTGGTAATTTAATTTAATTAATATTCTATTTTGTTTTAATTTTCTATTTTATTTAATTTAAATTTCTTCTTATTATCATGACAGGTTTTTATTATCATAAATTGTGTTTTATTTGTTTACTGAGACAAATTTTTAACTACATAATTAATAATCGGACCAAATTAAATTTAAACAGGAAAATAAAAGATTAAAATAAAACAAAAAAATGAAATTTAAAATAAACAAGACAAAAAATTAGAAGATCAAATTACTATTTTTTTATCTTTGCTTTTGCTCCTGATTAGGAATAATAAAATGAGTCACAGTGTCTTGTTTTGTTCCATTTTTTATTGTTTAAAGATTTAATGAATAAAGTTTTTATAGAAAAAATGTTACGAGAAAATTGAGTAAGTTCAGTGAAAGTTGAGTTATAATTGATGAGGAAGAGCATTTGTGAGTTATTTGTTGTGGTGTTATGAGAGTATTCCGAAATTGGCAACAAATGATTCGATGGTGAAGTTGTTAAGCAACGTTACAAAACCCTTGCAGTGGTTTTCGAATTTGGAACGTTACAAACACACACAAGACAGCATTGCATAAGACCCCAAACAATTTAAAACCTTTGAAAAAGACAGAAGAAAGAGACAAGGGCACCAAAGTAATTTCACCTTAAAAGAAGTGCAACAAATGCCACATACCTCTTTCCATTTCCAGCTGTGACCAAATCATCCTTGTCCCTCCCTCACATGGCCCTCCTTAACTCAACCACGGTTGCCATTTCCTTAACCACCATGCTTCCTTTTTCCCTGTAAAAACCATGCCCATCGTGTCATGTTATGCCAAGACATCCTACGACACCTATTTCGTTCATACGTACATTTTGCCGTCACAAAAACTAACACAGAACCGACCGGCTATTCTGCCAATCACAATTCAGATAATAAAGGTTAATAATAAAGTCAAAACTTTTTGTTTTTAATATATTTTCATCTTATTTAACTAAATCTTTTTCTTAGTAATTTCTATACCTTGAAAAATACTATCCTTTAGTTATCAGATAAAATAGTATATTTCGTGTACATTAAAAAGTTACATATACTTATTCATACTCACGCTTAATAACACTCACATTTTCACTTATCTTGCCACTAACGTATTATTTGAAAATCGACCAAAAATAATTTATTTAATGTCTTCAAAATATAAAAAAATATCTTATTATTTGTTAATATTAATTTTCAAGACTAAATTTAAATGATTAGAAAATATTTAATATATATAAATACAAACATATAATCAATACATTCATTACAAGTTTTGTATTATGATGTAAAGTATTTATATATTATTTTGACTATATTTATTTTATCAATTGTTAAGATATATTTAAAAATATATGTTAAGGAATTAAAAATAACTACATTTGATTAAAAATTATAATATTCATTATCATTATATTAAATTTTGTCAAAACATATTAATTTTTAATGAAAATTATTATACATAAATTTTTATTACATGTACTTGGACATATTTTTATATAAACAATATGATTTTATATTATTTTAAAAATAGAAATTATAAAATTAGTCTTGAATAATTGTGATGTAAAAGGAAAATAAATAAATAAAAAAAATACATGCCAAGGATATGAGATATAAATACGGTGCTGCCCTTAACCATGGTTAAGCAAACACTCACTACCACACTCTTCCATCTTTAAGACTTCAACTCCATCCATCTCCTCACTTCCACTTCCACACTCTCCCAGTCACTCACTCACTCACTCTCTTCACTCTTTCTTCCCCAACTCAAAATGGGTCGCCACGTCATCTTCACGCTCCTCATTCTCTCCGTCGCCGCCACCGTCTCCGGCCACAACATCACCGACATCCTTGCCGGAAGCCCCGACTACAGCGACTTCAATAGCTACCTCTCGCAAACAAAACTGGCCGACGAGATCAACAGCCGCGTAACCATCACCGTGCTCGTCCTCAACAACGCCGCATTCTCCGCCGTCACACGCGACCACCCTCTCTCCGTCATCAAAAACCTCCTCAGCCTCCACATCCTCCTCGACTACTTCGACAACTCCAAACTCCACCAAATCCCCAACGGCACCACCCACTCCACAACCCTCTACCAAACCACCGGCAGCGCTCAAGGCAACATCGGCTCCGTCAACATCACCGACTTAAAAGGTGGCAAAGTTGGCTTCGGCTCCGCCGTTCCCGGCTCCAAGCTCGACTCCACTTACACCAAATCCGTCAAACAAATTCCCTACAACATTTCCGTCATCGAAATCAGCGCGCCGATTATCGCGCAAGGTATTCTCACGGCTCCCCCTCCGTCAGCCGACGTTAACATAACGGCGCTCCTTGAGAAAGCTGGTTGTAAAACCTTTGCCTCGCTTGTTTCCTCTAACGGACTTATTAAGACGTTTCAGTCAACGGCTGATAAAGGTTTGACCATTTTTGCTCCCAACGATGAGGCTTTTAAGGCACGTGGCGTTCCCGATTTGAGCAAGCTCACCAACGCTGAAGTGGTCTCGCTCTTACAGTATCACGCCGCCGCTAAGTACCTTCCCGTTGGGTCTTTGAAAACCACTAAGGATTCTATCTCCACCTTGGCCACCAACGGCGCCGGAAAATTCGATTTAACGGTTTCCGTGGCCGGAGATTCCGTTACGCTCCACACCGGAGTTGATTCTTCAAGGATTGCTGACACTGTTTTGGACTCCACTCCGCTTGCGATTTACTCTGTTGACAGCGTGCTTCTTCCATCTGAGTTGTTCGCGAAATCGCCTTCACCGGCACCGGAACCATCTAGCGCTCCTTCTCCGTCTCCGGCATTGGCCCCATCGCCTGTGTCGGAGTCGCCTTCTCCGCTTCCCGCTTCACCGCCTGCTCCCGCTGGTGAGACACCGGCTGGTGCTCCGGCGGATGCGCCGTCGTCAGAGGCTGAGCGAAGCACTCCCGGCAAGTCTGCTGGCGTTCACGTGAAAGCTTCTGCGGTTCTCACTGTTACAGTGACTGCTCTGTCTGCTTTTGTGGTTTCCTCTATCTTTATGTCTTGATTTGTAATTTTACATTTTTATTGGTTTTGTTTTGTAATTGTTTGCTCTTTTTTTTTTTTATAATTTTCCCATGGCTGTGATTGGACTGGGGAATTTTTTATTTATTTATTTTGCTATAAATTAATTTAGGCATGTGATGATGTACTTGAACGCTGCTTTTTTAATTTAATTTTTGGGTTATATATTATAGAAGGTTCTGGTGGTTTTCGGGTGGTATTATCTGGTGTGGTGGTTTCTATTGTAATGTTTTGAGATGCCAAGGAGCGTGATTGGTGGAGGTGAGGGAAGGGCACGTGGAGGAGTTTGAGTGGGTCCTACGTGTTTCCTTTGGTGAGGTCCACCGCATTTTATTGTGTTTTTATTATAATGGAATAGAACCTAGATCTGGTTCTGAGAACTGTGCGGCGAATGGTTTCTACAATTTCCAACATTTTTTAATTCTTAAATAAAAAATGGTTTTAAAATGTTGGGGACACGCGAGAGACGCGTGAATGGGACAAATCATTGTTTATGATTTGAAACAAAGCGCGTTCATTCGATTCCTTGATTCTGTTGTTAGCATACAAAATTTGTTGTGACTATTAATACAAAACTTGATATGTCGAAAATGATATAATGGGAAGTTTAGATATTGAGATAATGCTTACAAAAAAATAAAATATCATAAGACATATCACGACCTTTGAGGGTTTGCAAGAGATTTACCTTCTTCAAGTATTATAGTCTATGGTGCATAGATTTGGATATGGTGCCACTCGTCTGAACATTTTTGAAAGTGCAAGTAAAATTAAATGACTAAACAACCTACTTAAGACTCATTCATACACCTAAACAAATTACCACACCAAAAATGTTAGCTGCACACAATTAAATTAATTTAAATAATTTATATTTTATCAATAATTAAATTAATACGCAATTTATAATTTGTTTTCTTAAAATTAGTCACTTGCCACATTTAAAATGACCATTTGATAATTTTATTTTTTCTACGAATTAAGTTGAGTGCTTTATTTTTTCAGGATATTTGTTCAGTTTTAAGAATTCCATTAGGCAGTTAGAGACTCTGGCCACTGCTATGGCGGCTAATCTTCCTGCAACGGCGAAGTCCACCGCGACGACGTCGTCGCAGGATAAACGACACCGTTCGATCTTCGAAGTTCCGTCAAACTTCTTCGAGTCTTGTCGCCTTCTCCCTTCTCCTCTCTCATCCCTCACCGACCACCACAGCGCAGGCCTCCGAACCCTTGAATCTTCCTCAAACGACGTCGTTGTCGATGACCCTCAAAACGCTGTCGTTTCCCTGCCGAGATGGACCTGCAACACCTGCAAGGCTCAATTCGATTCCCTTCGAGACCAGCGTTCCCATTTCAAATCCGATATTCACCGATTCAACGTAAGATTCGATCAATCCCTATGTATTCACTATCCACTTGTTTATTTATTTATTCAAAATTTACTTCCAGAATGGTAATATTTTGAGTGATTTTTCGTAAAATTTAGAATACCCGTTTTTGCTTTAAAAAGAAAAGTTCAAACCTTTTCATTGTGCTTCTTGAAACTAGATAAAATCTAGAATCTCATTTAGCTTAAAGAGTAGAATCTCTTAATTTTTTTTTTATTGTTTTGTGTTTTGGAAGATTGATATGTTCATGTGTAAGTTTGAAATGCTAACTTAATTATAGTGTACATTGGGGTTGGTGGATATGAAAATGAAAGATAGTGGTTCGCATTTAGCTTCTATAACGGGTTGTATTAATGATAGGTGAAGCTGACAATTAAGGGAAAGACTATTGTGAAGGAAGAAGATTTTGAGATGCTGACATCTGAATTTGTTAAAGATTATGATGTGTCAAGTATATCAGGTTCAGAAAGTGACGATGATAGCGATGTTGAGTCTCAAAGTCAAAATGATGTGCGTGACAAATCAAGTGAAAGTTTTAAACAAAAAATATTCATCCGTCTTCAGAGTGGGCAGAGAGTTTCTGTCTGGAAGTGCTTGATCATGAATGTGACTGAAAACGTGTTGTATGAGAATGAAAAAGCAGAGAATGAAGTGGTTGAGAGGTTGAAATCTCTGACTGTTGAGCCCAGAGATAATACCCTTTTGAGGATCGTTCTGCTTGCATCCGGTGGGCACTTTGCAGGTTGTGTTTTTGATGGTGATGCAGTTGTGGCTCACAAGACATTTCACAGGTTAGAATATGTTTTTCGCTTCTTGCTACCAAACATAAAAAATAAAAATAAAAATGGTCATAGTTTTTGTAGAAAAAATTCAATAATAAATGAAAATTATTGTAGTTTCATTAAGGCAGTCTGTCAGGTGGAGAATAATGCACCATTGAACCATGTACAAAGATTAATCCTATGATATCTGTGACGCATGTATCTTTATCAATTATTGTTCTTTTGGAGGTCTAGTCCATTGGAAATCTTTTTGTCAAGGTCAATTTTGGCTAAATGGATGATTCAAGCATGAGTAGTAACTATCAAAACTTAATGCTTCTTCCCTGACATTTTAATGTTGCAAGCTAATCCAGTGGAACTTGTGTGAACTCTGCATCATCCCTTGTTTATATAACTCTGGGGAGACTTGAAAGCTACTGTGTGATGTTCTCTGTTATCTTGAGCTATTCAGTTATCAAATGGTAGTTTTATGCAGTTTTGCTCAATTATGGATTTATGCTGATGCTTTTTTATTTGCTACTACAATTAGAATTAGTTCATAATGCATCATTCCTCTTTCCTAACTGAGGATAAGTATAATGTTGATGACATCTTTCATTTAGGCATCTTTTTTTCTCCATGGAGGCATTAAATCTCATGGAACTTTGAATTAATTTTACTGATTCAGTTATTCTAATTTTAGCCATCTATCTGAATGAAAAGTATGAAATATTGTATTGTTTGTGCTTGGGCTTGTATAAGTAGTTGATCCACTTTTTCAGCAGTTCTTTTTCTCTCCTTGCCCTTTTCATTTCCTGTGGCAATAATACATATATTCTACTTCCCAATTATTGACCAAAGACTTGTATCACTATTTTCTTATTCATTTTTATGACTGCTAGTTCTATTTGCTGAAACTTGTAAATGGAATTTTAAAATTTGATTGTATTCTAAAGCTCTTATCGTTCTTATGTAGATATGTTGTAAGGGCCAAGGCAGGAAAAAAACAGTCTTCTAAAGATGCTTCTGGGCGGGCTGCACATTCTGCTGGGGCTTCCCTTCGTCGTCATAATGAACTTGCATTAAAGAAGGTATTCAGATCAAAGCTACTTTTGCTTGTCAATATTTTTTTTTCCATGCTAGCTAGCTGTTGTTTTGTAATTTGGTGTTCTGAAATCAACTAATTTTGCAAGCCTTTTGGAATTGGAGGTAGTTGTATACAGGTTAATAAATTTATGATGAGAAAAATGATAGTGTTTCTTATTTCATATCAAGATGTGGAAAGGGAGAACTTATGTGTTTGGAGCTATAATTACTTGAAACTAATCTGGTAAGGTACTTCTATAAAATTACTGAATTTTTTAATTATTATTTATTTGGTAATGGCAATATGTGATTTCCTATATTGAAAATATATATAATATGGTTAATTTTCTCATAAAATACAGGCTGCCTTCTCTCTATTATTTATATTTAAGGTAACACTGAAGAGCTTGGCTTGTCAAAATTTTAGAACCCGAATATCATTTATGATTACTAGGGTTTGTTTGGTTTAGGAAAACATTTTCTATTTTCACTAATAATTACAAAAAAATTTACCTTGTTTTCATTGTCTTCTATACAAATTAAAAAACCAGAAGTAAATTGAAATGAGGCATTTTTGTAAATTATTTAGGAAAGCAGGAAATAAAAATAGAAAGCATTTTCCCAAATCACTGACCCTTATAAATTGTTATGCGTCAAATGTGATGACTGGCTGTATTGGTCATGAATTTTGACAAATTGGTTGTCATAATGATTCTTCTTCAAATTTTACTTACTGCTACTCGTTTTACAAACATACAGAGATGGAGAAATTGCTTTCTTACTTATTGCCTTTTTCATTTGTGTGAGTGCATGTGCATTGGTGCACAACCATAATTTAAATCTGGACTGATTACTGGCAAACTAATATTTTAGGAAGTTCATGAACTGCTTACTGCTTGGAAACCTTATTTTGATGCTTCCAATTGCATTTTTATACATGCCCCTTCAAGTAGTCGTCAACTGCTTTATGATGGAGAAAGATCATATTTTACAACCAATCACCAGTGTGCTATTAGAAATATTGCTTTGAGTGTTCGGAGGCCTACTTTCAGGGAAGCAAAGCGTGTATATAGCCAGTTGACCCTGGTAACTTACGAAGCTGATGATAAGGAAATTTTACAAAGCAGTGAAGGGGACTTGGAATCAATTCACATTGCTAAAATAAATGGCATTTCATCCTCTAGCAAAGGGGACATGACTGAGTTGGCTGACAAAGATAAAGCTGAAGCTTGTTCAAGTAAACAAAATGATGAATTCCCTATTTCAAGTGGAGAAAGTGATAATGAGCTATCTGGTAAATCGACTCCTTTACATCAAGCAGTACAATCTGATGACTCTCAAAAGGTTTTGGAACTCCTCGAACAGGGCTTGAATCCTTGCATCAAAGATGAAAGGGGACGGACCCCATATATGTTGGCACATGACAAAGAAGTGAGGAATACTTTCAGAAGGTTTATGGCTTCAAATCCTGACAAATGGGATTGGCATGATGCAAAAGTGCCTAGTGCATTGACCAAAGAAATGGAAGAATCACAAGCTGCTAAGCAGGTGATCCTGATACTTCTTTAAAATAAATTTTGAATTCTGATTTAAATTCAAAATGATTACATCTTTTGTTATCCACGTTGTTCTCTTTACTTTTGATGTTTTGCTGATAAATATCATTGGATTATTGTTGCTGTGGAAGAAGTATATTGTACATTATCATGGTTCTAATAAATATAAATTCTCTACTTCCTGATCTTAAGTTTTGAAGATAAAATCTCACCAACATTTTTGGCTTAAAATATGATTAAGATGCATTTGGATAAACACCTTAATTGAACGCTTTATTAGTAAGCCCATATTACGTGAGAGCTTATTAAGTTAAAAAGAACTTATTTTGATAAATTTTACTTAGAAGCTTGAAGTGAGCTAAAATACCTTATATGACTTATAAGTTACTTTCATAAACCCAAAGAAACTCTTTGTAAGCTCTTCCAATGTCTCCTAAATCTATCCTTAGGTTTTAGAGAAATACATACAAGAAAAAAAAAATCAATATGAAATATAAATAAAATTTGTCTCATAAGTTAAAAGAAACTTATATTTTTTTAAATTTTAGAGAAGTTAAATGAAAAAAGTTTTCAAAATGAAGATAAGCATTACTCTTATTATTTAATTTTTTTTACTCCTATAAGTACTTAATAAAAAGTTTATCCAAACTGAGTCATAGTCTATTACAATATTTTAGTTAGAGAGTTAGTTCGGGTTTATTTTTTTTTCGTTTAACTGCTTCTAACATCCAGTGTTCTGCACCATTTGGTCTTAAAGTTTTGACTTCTGTTGATCAAATCTAAAAACTTTCATCTCAGAGTAATGATTGCCTCCTTTTATGCTTGTACAGGCAGAAAAAGATGCTAAGAGAAAAGCTAGAGCAAAAGAATTAAAGAAATTGCGTAAAGCAAAAGAAAAGAAGGCTCAGGTACATCTTAATTGGTTTCAGTATCATGTTATATGATGACCTCATCTTAGTTTTTTGGGACTTATTTCTGAAAGCATTTTTACCTTGGTTTATAAAATGAAATTTAATTGATATTTTCCTATTTTTTACATATACAGTCTTCTGTGATGACTTCGATTTATTATGGCTTACCTTAAAGATTTGAGGGATACCTTGGTAATCTTGAAATAGTTGACTAGAGTGAAAATGGTACATTTTCCTTCAAATATTATGCGTCTTGGGCAAATATTATGCAATTAGCTTCTGACGATTGAGTCTGAGCAAGTGTGCACGAACAAATGAATTTTCTTATGAATTATGAAAATGAAAGGACACTTGCACTTCATCAGTTTGAGTTCTATAATTGTTTTTTGTCCTGTTGCTTCTGATTTCAGTCCTAGGTCAATACCTCAGCCAGCAACACATTTTTCTGAAGATTTTCATTGATAAACTTTGATCTTTTGTATTTTGTGTTTCAAATCATATATTTCTACTTTTTCTCTCATTATCATAAAAACAATATATTATTCTGAGGAATCTTGAATGTGGTGTTCAGGCTGAAGCTGCCTTACCTAAGAATGATTCCAAAATTGTAGAAAAGCAAGTGGCTCCTCCAGCATCTATTAAGGGACAATCTCAACCAAAAAGTACTGTGAAATTATCTAAAGAGGTTAGATACTGAATTTTTGCTGGTTGAAAATCTTAAAAAGCCGTCTTTTGCAACTTTAATGACATGTTAAAATCATGCTACACTTTTATGAGATGACATAACTCTTTCATCTGAGTATTTTCCTCTCTTAACTGCTAATTGTAAATGAACTGTTTAATATTTTAATTTCTTAAATCCTCTTTCTATCTTAAACAGGATGAAATAAGAATGGCACAAGCTGCAGAAAGAGAAAAGAGAGCAGCTGCGGCTGAGAGAAGAATATCTGCCCTCAAAATTCAAGCTAATAGCAGCACAACCACTGCACCTAGCATTTCAGAACCTAAAAGTGGTTTAGGCAGTGACATTTTATGTTCCTGTTGTAATTCATCACTTGCTGGTAAAGTTCCCTTCCACCGTTACAATTACAAATACTGCAGCACAACATGCATGCATGTACACAGAGAGATCCTAGAAGATGGATGACATTGTTTTTTTTTATATTAATTTAGTTTTTGGTGCAAGTTAAGATTGCTCCAAAAATCCCTTGTATATGGTATCCATTTGGTTGCAAATGATACAGGTTGAAAAAGTGAAAGAAATGTAGAGGGATGTTTGGAGATAATTGTATACGGTATTAAATTTTTCTTTGTTAATTGATAATTGTATACGATGTTACATCCAGTAATAAGTTTTAGATCTTCAAATTACATTATTTTTCCAACAAGTAATGCCAGATCCACACACACCTAACACATCGTATCTGCATGGTTATTCTTATGAATATAACTGTCTCACCTATTTTTTTCAACCTTCATTTTTATGTTGCCACCTCCCAATTGTAAGGTGATGTGCATGGTGGTGTTGTCATCCAAGCATTATTTTTTAGTTCCTTGTCGAGATTTTAATTGAATTTTCATGAGATTGTACGCACGGCAAGAAAAAACATCTTACTTCAGTATACCATATCAAGCCCAAGTGATTGGCTGATGTCAGGTTTGACAGCATTTTACATGGTTGGCTTGATCTTAAATCTTACATTAATTTTTGCCTTAATTGTACTTTCTATCTCCAGATTTTAAACATATGTATGATTCTTTCTTCTTCTATTTTTTAATTTTTAATTAACCCCCCATTTTATTTTATTTTATTTTTTGAAGATCAAGGTAATGCAAGAATAATTCTGACAAAAGTTCTGCTGCTTAATATTTTTTTTAAAACAATGAACTCTTTGTAGTCAATAAAAATGTAACATACATGATTGATTTATATAATTTTGCAAAGAGTATTTAATTAAAAAATAAAATATAGTTTTTGTTTCATTTGCTTTTATTTTTAAAATTATTTTATATAATTTTTCTCTATTAATTAATATATATCAACAATATCTTATCTTTCTGTTATATTTTTATTAATTATTCCATGAAATTTTAAAGTAAAAACTTGATTTAAACAAAATGAAAATAAGATTAAGTGTAAATAATTAAAGTTTAGGAAATAAAAATCACATATAAATTAAAATATGATGACTAAAAGTATAAGCAAGTCTTAGTTTTTCTTTGTGGAAAATCCCTTGGAATATCTTTTCCTGTACATCCATATCCATTGCTGACAAAAGCATGTCCAAATAAAATTACAACTGTGTTGCTAATTTAGTTTACTTCACAAACCATAAACAAATTCATCATGTCATTTCAACCAGTTTGAATGACAATTTAGTAGTTCAACGTGAAAACGAATGTAAGGAAAAATCTTGTTTTGGCTAAGATTAAATCTTGTGACAGACGACAATGATCAATTTGGTTGACGAGTTCTTATATATCATTTTAATTTGTTATCATTGGTAACGTAACAATATTAACATGCGGATTTATTTCTAGATTTTGAAACTTGACCCGATGATTCATCTTCTTTCTAATTCAAAAGATCACAATGAAGAAAAATATTCTCTCTTTATCAATTAAAGCTCTTTTTTCTTGTAGTTCTTTTGTAAGGAAAATATATGATTTCAGAGTTTGATCTTTGTTGTCTTTTGGGATTTATTTAGAATTGTTAAAATATTTTTATATTTAAGCATATGTTTTAGGATTTTTTTTATCGATTGTGTAATGTTGTAATACTACTGTGATTTAACTATTTTTTTAAGTGCTATTAGACATTTTGTAATCAGTGATTTTTCACAAAACTAGTTCATTGACTTATTATGTGTCCATTTCTCTATCTGTGCCTATTGGAACCAATATTAATCGCACCAACTGTGGGAAATTTATTTGATAATTTTCTTTTTGTCAAGGATTGATAAATTAGTGCGTGTGATATTTATTGTGAAGACAATATTACTTAATGATTTTAGATTTAGTTGATATTTTGTGTAAATATTTTATATCCATTGCTATATCACAAAAATAAAATATATCTTACCTCTTAAGTACTTTTTTTTAAAATCATAATTAAAGTACTTAAATTATGTACCAATGTGTGACTGATAATTATAAGAAAATAATGATACCTTCGCACTCTTATTTGAGGTATAACTTGGGTGGAAGGAAGAGAAAGATAAAAAGAAAAAGAAAAAATAAATAGAGAGAAAAAGTAAGTGGTGGACTTGATAATATGAAAAAAAAAAAAAGGAAGATAGATAAAAAAAAATGTGAAAAATAGATGTAAGATAAAGTGGGACATAAAAGTATAACTATTTTTTTTTTAAAAAAAAAAATCATACTAGGGTCACAATTTTAAAATGTATAATTATAAATCTTTATTTGTAGCATACTCAAAGTTCAACAAAATCATTAGAATGTCAACTATTAAGATTTGTCCAACTTAAAATACAAAATAATTACCATAATTAGTCTAAACTTAACTATAAACACGAATATCTGTATCAAATCCTAGCAATATTAAGTAAACAACTAATATAATAATATTTAAACAAGTATCTGTAATTTTAAATAAGTATATATTTTATTAGATAAGGTTTTGACGTTTGACCATAACCTAATGAAGTAATGAGAAAGACAAGAACGATTTTGAAGATCCTTGAAAGCCACTAAAATTTGGTGGTTAAAAACCTTTGACATATTATATACCTTGATTCATTACTGGGTCTGAAACCTTATAATTTCCTTTTTGTTACATAGAAATCTTCAAATCAGTGACACCCCAAATTCAACTTAGATTTTCCCCTTTGATCTACATTTTGTCATTTTCTATTGTCAACATGGATCCTTCCTTGTTATCCCTCTTTTGTTTCGTTTTCCTAATCTTTTATTTGTCATTCAGTATTGGTATGAAACAATTTGTGGGGTCTTACAAATCTTCAACATCAAACTAATATCTCAAAAGGCATTTTTGTACTGTTCATGCATGGATAATTTGGTAGATAAGATTACGCTCAATTAAAGACCAGAGTCACAAACTTCAACATCATATCACACTCATTTATATTTTCATGATTTGAGATCTTTCGCATCTGAAATTCACTTTAAAGTTCAACTAATGAGTTAAGATCAATGGACCCAAAAAGTAAAGTTCTCTTAGATCTTTTTTATTGCTTTCTTTACTTAAAGAGATTTGAATATTGAACCCCAAAAAAAAAAAAAAAAATAACTCAGAGATTTGAAAGGAATTTTATAAGATGATAGATTATAATTTAAAGAATATATATATATATATATATATTAGTTAAAAATTAATTTTTGATTCACGAATCTTGAGTAAAATTATTTAATTTATTCAATTTGTAAAAAAACTTAAGAGTTTAAAATAAAAGAAATTGACAAATAGAGTTTTGAAATAGTTCATATATGATTGATTTTATAAGTAGAGCTAAAAAAAAAGGAACCAAAATCGTGCATAGTCTAAATTAAAAAAAAAGAAGACTAAAACTATAATTAAATTCATTTTATGATTAATGAATTTACACATTTCGCATGTCTGTCAAATAAGAAATATAACATTTGAAATTTGAAGGTAATTTTACCTAATGGAAATTGCATGAGAAAAGAGAAAATAAACAAAGGTGAGAAAGACTGAGTTATCATATATAGCTTCACTTTCTAAAGGAGCTTTCTTGCAAAACACAAAACTAGAAAACCTAGACTTCTTAGATGAGAAGAGCAACAACTTACATATACTAACAAATATGACAAAGCTCAAGTAAGAGGAAGGAAAACACAAGTTAAAAGAATCACAATTCCAAAAGAAGAAGATGAATAATGAATAGTATTAAATAAGATAAATTAGATATATAAAGATTGCAAAAAAATAAATAGTATTTCAATTTATATGTGAGTAACATAATTCAAAGATTGAACTCGAGAGAACTAAAAGAAAACATTACAGAATGTTAATGTGACAATTGAATAAAATATAATTTAATTTGATAAAACATTTATTTTAGTCTATTATATTTCTATATTTTTACTTCATTGTCATTTGTCAAATTTTTGTGTAAGAAATGATGAAAAAAATATTATTTACAGTTACTATTCAAAACCTTGAAACTAATATAGAAAATGAAAATGATGTGACATTTTTATTTATTTATGGAAAAATTAAAATAAAATTTTTTTCAAAGCAAATTAATTCCATGCAAAAATTTATTTGGGTCAATGCCTGTCACAAACTGTGAGAAGGAATTAAGCTTAAGATCCTTTAGACCCGAGGACACTTTGTAGTTCTTGACTTTGAAAAAAAATAAAAAATTTTAAGTTATTAACATGTTATTTATGTATTTTTCACTTCAAATTTAATATATGAATTTATTGCCCAAGATTCATATCTTATGAAGTTATAAAAAACTTAATTTACATTAAGTGATATTAACTCACTTTGAAAATTCTTCCAACACACCAAAAATCTCAAAAAGCTTATAAATAGAAACTAAAGAAGAATATCTACCATGCACTTCCCTAGTTTATAGTATTCATCACAGCACATATATGATCACATGGCTGCTCCATTTGAAGCTACATCTCAATGGCAAGCCACCTTCTATGTCCACCAGCAAACCTTCAACCAAAGAATTCCTTTAACAATTATATGCAACTTTGCCCATGATTCCCTCACAAACCGCCATAAAATCTATGCATTCACACTTGCCACAATGCTAAGCTTCCTCCAAGTTCAAAGTGCAGGGAACACAGCTTCACCATTCCAAATTCATCCTACAACTACAAGAGCTGCTATATTGGGCATGTTAGGCTATTACTTGGCCTTCAGGGCTTGGCTATGTTTGCCTTCTTCTTATGCTACTCAATTAGGCATTGTCATGGCAATTTTTGGCTCATTTTCCTTGGCTTCGTTGGTGTCACTTCTTCTTTCTGACTCGTTGTGGCACATCAAGTTTATTTTTTATGTTTTACTAGCAATTGTTGAGTTGCATCAAGTGTTCACCATATTATGTAACAAATGTCTTAGAAGATCAATTATATTTCCTTGGAGATCATGGCACATGAACTCACCAGTACGGCTTTTGCCATTGACATACATGGATTTGATAGAACACAATGCTTAATAATGGAAGCATTTATACAAGCAAAATGTTCCTCACATTCATGCTAATTAGCCTCATGTAATTGCACGCCTTCAAATATTTGCTGGTGAAAAAAACTTGTCTTTTAGATAATTTTGAATTACAATTCTATAAATTTGTGCACTATTAATTACAGTAAAAGTTTAGTTTATAGCATGCTTCTCATAAATTTCATAATAAATTATGGCATCAAATAAGAAATTATGTATTTTTATATTATAAAGTTATCTTGGTCACATTTTTATTAAAAAATAGGGTTTAGTTTAATTCCAATAATTAATTCAAAAGATAATTATCTAATATAAAGAATATTTTAGTCACAGTAAAACATCTTAATACACTCTTATATGTAAACTTTGCAAAACTTAGTATCTTTGAGTGACCAAACACTGAATTGCTTAGACTCTAATATTAAAAATTAAACTTAATTCTCTATAAAAAAAAATTAATTCAAAGGAAGAATATTTCTTAAGCCTTATAAAAAGTATCTGACTATATTTCTAGCACTGTAAAATATTTAATATTTATTTAAATTTGGAATTTTATGTTCATGAATGATATTGTTGAAATGAAGATTGTTAAGTGGTTAAATTCCAATGGTTGTATTCCAATAGTTAGTACGGTGATAATTGGTTATTAATAAAAAGTTTTATGTTAAATTGAGTGTAATTTTTACCAAAACAATAATACAAGTATTTTTTAATAGAGGTAATTTTATTTGAGTTTAAAATCATGATGATGCGATAAAGAGTAAAGTAAAGAAGAAAGAAATAATAGGAATTGAAATAGAGTAGAAAGGATATATTATTTGAATGGATTGGAATAAGAAGAAAAATATTTTCCCTTATTCTGATGAGTAAAATAAATTAAAAAAACAATTAAACTATACTAAAAATAATTATAAAAAATTTATTTAATCTAAATTTTTTACATTGTTATTATCATATTTTTTCTTAAAAAATTATTTTTAATTTTTATAATAATAAAAATGTTATTTAATATTTAATAATAAGAAAAAACTTTTTCTCACCCACAATCTTTAATTTCCTCACTTCTCCTAATATGGGGAGATTTTATTCTAATGTGTGACAAAAGAAATCTTCTTATTTTTATTTCTTTGCATTTAAACACTTACGTTTTATTTTGATACATTGAGTGCAATAAATAAAATAAAATAACGAAGAGTAAATTATTACTCAAAAATAAAAGTGAAATATGAAATAAAATAATGTAGTTAAACTATAAAAACACTCCATGTAAAGATGTATTTAATTTTTTTTTTCATAAAGGTAAAATCGAGACAATAATAATAATAATAATAATAATTTCAAGTGACAATTCCAGGAAATGGATTAAAATGTAATAATTTCAATTCAACAAATTTCAATATATCATATTTCAATGGAAACAAATAAAAGGTTAACATTAAATACTTTCCTTCGTTTCCTTTCCTGTCTAAACATGTCATTAGCAATTATTTGTTTTTAATAAGGTTCAAATCTTAAACATTACAAAATAACAAACATACAACATCTTAAATTTAACTTGATTATGCTTCAATTAAAAATGATTAAAACTAGATTAAATTGATATGTACATGTAAAATGATATTAAAATTTATACATTAGTAAAGCGTAAATTAAAAAAAAATTGGAGCGGTTTATAATATTTTTTAAACAAATTATACACAAAGATATTATTTTAAAAAATAAGCTTTTTCTCATTCCAAACACAAAGATTAAGAGATGTTCTCGTTCCAAATTTTTTATGAATTTTTTAAGGTCTTATTCTCTTACTAGATATTTTGCACTATTTTAAATGATTAAGTATTTAATTAATTTTATAATAAATAAAAGTAATAAAATGATAACTAAAGATATAAAATTAGTCTTTTAAAAAGGAAAAAATAGTCTTTTTATAACTTTTTTCAAAACATTTAGCATTATTAAGGTCTTTTAACCACTCAACTCAAATTTATGTGGGAATTATTTATTTGTTAATTTGTTGCACGTAATACAATTACAAAAAAGAATGGAAAGTTAAGATTTGTTACGAACAAATTTCAACTACAATGAATGGATGTAGAATTTTTTTTTTCTTTTATTCAATATAACATCAATGAATAAACACAAATTTAGATATTAGAATTTTTAATAAAAACTCTTTTTCTATTAATATAATTTTAAAAACAATCATTCATGATTAAAATGAAAAGGAATAAATATTATTATTATTATTATTTATAGAAAAAGAAAGTTACAAGACTTCCAAGGCAAGCTTTGGTCTTCAGAGAAAAAAACAACTTCCAATTTCTTCCACTTCACAGTTCATAGTTCACAGTGAGTCTTGTACTTTGGCGCACAAAATTGAGGTAATTAGGGTTTTGAAATTCCCATCAATGGCGATGGACAACGAGAAAATCGAAACCCCCATCAAGGCGTCGAAATCAGTTGAGAATTCTCCGTTGAGTTTGAGTCCGAGAGGGCGCATTGTCTCTGTTGCCTCAAACATCGCTTCACAGCCTCTTCACAACTCTGATCCTCACGTTTGGGGCGTCCTCACTGCTATCTCCAACAATGCCCGCAAAAGACAGCAGGTTCCCCTAAATTTCCTTTTCTTTCTAAAAAATTATTTACGAGCTTGCTATGTTGTTGCTAGTTTCAATTCAAGTATTTTTAGTTTAGGCTTTCAATTGGATGCTTTGTTTAAACCTAGGTGATGAATTATGCTTTCTAGTGAGGGTTTCTGTTCTTGTATGAATTAGGGAGTTTTACTTTGTTACTAGACTAGCCTCGTTTAATTAAAATTTGATTGCAAAAATAAAGAAAAGATATTGTCTAGACGAATAGATTAATATCAATTGGTATGAAATGCCGAGTAATTATTGTATGAACACAATGTCTACATTAAAATAGTAATTTAAATAGACAAGGTTGGAGTTATTTTAATGTTATTTTTAGTTTTTATTGGTTGTACCAATAAGAACAATGCTGAGGCATGAATTACCCTTACCTTCCAAAAGAAAGGAAATTGGAAAGAACCATTCTTAAACCTCATATATATGGTGAATTTTAGTGTAAACTGAGTCATTCTTGTATTTGAGGGTGAGCCTCGGAACAATAGTAAGGTTGTTACCTTATGACCTAGAGATCACAAGTACAAATCATGCAAACAATCTCTCCACTTATGGGAGTAAGGTTGTGTTCATATTCCCTTGTCAGACCCCACTAGATGGGAGCCTCGTGCACTGGGTCGCCTGTTTTTCTGTGTTGCTCCTGTATAATATTCAACTAGAGAACTGCTATGATCATCCGAAGCACATGTTAGGGCAAATATTGATAAGCATAATTCAATTACATATTAATGGTACTTCACTTTCAGTAAATGCCACACAAATGTCATAGTATCTGGATATATATACTTCTAATCAAATCACACTTTGTTTGAGCTGTAAACATATGTGAATTTCTAGATATGAAAGTTGGACTGGAGTTAAATTCTGTGGTAGTTTACTGCTGATTGTTCTCATTGTGACCAATGGTTGTAACCAGGGAATTAATATTCTACTAACTGCGGATGAGCATTGCATTGGACGATTGGTAGAGGATGTGCGATTCCAGATTGATTCAAATTCTGTTAGTGCAAATCATTGCCGAATATACAGGATGAGGGTTACTACCGAAAATATGGAGAATACCACATCAATATTCTTGAAAGATACAAGGTTGTGGATTCTTTTTTTGAGCCTGGGTCTCCCCATCCCTCATCCTACTTAAGCAGAAGTAAACAGTTATTTTCCCTTTTTCTTTTCTTAATATTCTGATTTTTGTAAAGCTTTGTTCAGCACAAATGGAACTTACCTTAACTGGGAGAAGTTGAAAAAGAATGGTGCTGCTGTGAAAGTCTGCCATGGTGATATCATATCATTTTCTGCTCCTCCACAACATGGTAATATGGATCCTTCTAATGACTCAATATCTTTATTCTTCTCTAATTTCTATTCCACCTTTTCTTACAATAGTTGTAGCACTTGTGGATTTTTTTTTTTACTCACTGGTGCTTCAGGGATGAGCACTATTTCCCTATATCTGTTCTTTTAATTTCCTTCAACTGTGAGAAGTGTTCCTCCAAAAAATGAAGAAAATATTAAATAAGATTTGACAAACTGTATTTTTTGTGCTCTTTTGTTGCAAATTGGCATTGGATAAGTCAATATTGTTATATTTATTTATCTATCCTTTTCTTTTTATGATTTCTTTGTTATTTGTTAGAATAAATTAATAAATAAAAAAATATAGTCCTCTATAAAATATTTGTTTTGTTATGGATGCTGTTTATTTTTTGAAAAAATGGGGTCATAACTGGAATTATTTTGTGCAATGGTGAGGAATTTATGCTTTTGAGTATTTGTTGCCTTTTGTACATATTAAGCTTTTGCAGTGTGGATTTGTTCTATTTCCAAATTATTATAATTTGGTTTTACATCGCAGAACTTGCATTCGCCTTTGTATATCGAGAGGTGCTTGTGTCCACCCCCTTGCCAGATAATGCAGCTGCTAAACGAAAGGCAGGTAGTGTAATGGTCAGCAACACATACATTTACAATTTTTTAATCATTATTGCATTCTACTCTGATCTATGCTTGATAGTGGAATTGAAGCTTCTAATTTTATGTAGATTTGAAGTTTCAAATGTGTTGACAATGATATTCATAATTTCCTATTCATATGATCGTGACCTTTTCCAACTTACTTCATATTCTATTGATGATTAAGATATATAATATATTTATGCTGATATTTGCTTTTGATTCATTTTCTAATGCTTTTACTTTCTTTCTGTTGTTCATCCTCCTTTCTTGAATATGTAGAGGATTTTATTTCTGAAAACAAGAGATTGAAAGGTTTAGGCATTGGTGCTCCTGAGGGTCCCGTATCTCTAGATGATTTTCGAAGTCTTCAAAGATCAAACATGGTTAGTTAACTTAGAAGGATTGCGTTATTAACGAGTACTGTAAGCAGTCCCCCCCCACCTCCTCCCTAAGTGTATCTAATTTTTGTTTTGACAGGAACTGAGAAAGCAATTGGAGAGTCAGGTGGTTACAATCGATACTTTGCGTAGTGACAACCGTGCAGCTGTTGAGCGTCATGAAATTGTATGTAATCATTGGGGAACTTACTCTCCATCACCTAGTGGTAGCTGAGGCTCCCCCAAAATTGCTTTAAACTTAATATTTAGCATAGAATTATATATTTTATTGTTTCATCAATCCCCTCTCCCCTAAGCAATGTTACTTGTGATACTCATGCTCTGCTAATGTGTTTTTTTTTCCCTTTTGTCTTACAAAGAAATGCACATGTGATCTATGATAACTATCTTTTCATTCTATGGATTCTGAGAGAACTATTTCATCTTATTTGTTCATATAATTTGAATTTACAATGTCTTACCTAATTTATGATCTATTCTACAGGAATTAAAATCAGTCAAAGAGTCGGTTGCAAAATGTTATCTTGAGCAATTGAAAGAATTACAGGAAACAGTGGATCTCAAGCAGAAGGAATTAGGAGATCTCAACAGAGTATCTGCTGAACAAAAACATGCCCTAGAAGACCTTAATGAAAGGCTTAGTGCTTCTATGCAGTCTTGTGCTGAAGCAAATGCAATAATAAGTAGGTATGATCTGTTTAATTCCTCACTGCGGTATTTGATATCATTTTCTTTTAATAGTTTGATCATTGGTGTAAGTATTGTAGACTATTACCTTGGTTGATTGATTTTTATATTGCCATTAGAATTAACAACAGAAATGGTTTCCCTCCGTTATTCCTGTTGTAGTAGACTATTAGGACTATATCAAATTGGTGCTTTGATAGATCCACATATTTTCTGTGGTATCAAAGATCCTGGGGATGCAAAATTCCCTTCTATATGCTGTATCAGAGATTAGCTTTGGTTTACCTTTAACAGAAATCAAGAACCAACAAGAAACTGAGAGAAAATGGGAAAAAACCTTGATAGGGAAATAGAAAAAAATTCTGCTATGAAATTGTAAATGAATGAACCTCTGCTGGTTTGTTTATGTTTATAGTTAGTGATCTGACTCAAATTCCTAATTGAATTCCAACAATTCGATCTGCCTGAGCTTGACAACTAGGCTATATAGAACAATATACCAGATACTCTGTACTCAACTGATAATACTCTAACAGACTTGAGGATAGTGTGAGGCTCAGCAATTGTTGAGTCTAAGATAACCAAGATTTAGATAATATCTCCATACGTATAAGTTTAACTAATATACGGGTAACTGATAGGAACAGAATCAACAATGATATTACATCCAGAAAACCCTTGAGTTTGACCTGCTATAGCAAAGTAGAGGAATAGCATTTACAGTGATCATCACACTCACTGTTCTTTTTGTTGATTTGACTTTCAGACATTAAGTATTAGAGATAGTAATGGAAAGTTATGTTTGAGGAAGCTTTTTGTTATAGAAAATGAAATTAAGTGCCTATTGAACCCTTGATTCAATCCCTTAAAATGGATGAGCATGTAAACTTGGTAATTTGGCATAAAGCAATTAGCTTGATGTTGATTCACTAGAGAATTGTAGAGGGTAGTTTCAAGAATTGCGCAAATTGCTTCCCTTTGCTAATTGAACAATCTAGACTCAAGATTCAATGAACCTAAATCTAGCAACTCCAAAATCTTGGTTCAATTTGATAGATTCATATTGTGTCCGCGCACAGATATGTGTGCTCACACATACCCCTAGAGGTGCATTTATCTAGTTAGATCTAGTTGTCTGCAATTATCGACCTATGTGGCTAAAGGTGTGATTTATTTTACTTGTCTTTCTATGTCAGAGTTACAAAAATTAAATTAGTTTGGGAAAATTACACTCACATCAGCTGAACTACAGCATTATTGCACCTGGGACACCCCCCCCCCCTTTTTGGACCTTACACAAACCTCTATAATTTATATAAAAACATTAAACATAGGAGGTTTGTGCTGACAGGAAGGGGACATGGTGCTATGTTGACATATAAATTAAGGGAGGTCTGTGTTGGGACAAAAAAAGAAGGGCATAAGGTGCAACGTCACTAACATATAGTACTATGACACTCGTAGGAGGTAGGAGTATGGATCTTTGCTTTCCACTAATTTGTTTCAGAAGGCTAATTCTAAATTATCCTGTCTCCTGCTTGCAGTCAAAAGGTAAATATAGCTGAACTCAAGGAACAAATAGATGAAGAACGAACCCAACGAAAGGAAGAGCGTGAAAAGGCTGCAGCTGATCTAAAAGCTGCTGTTCATAGAGCCCAATCTGAGGCTCAGGAGGAAGTAAAACGACTCTCAGATGCTGCCTTAAGAAGAGAAAGAGAGCTACAAGAAGCAATAAATAAGTTACAGGTTCGAAAGTTTTGATGCTAGATTAGTAAGAATCTGTTCCCTTTGCATTTTAAGGAGCTCTGATGCTATCTTAATACATGTTATAGGAGTCTGAGAGGGAAATGTGTTTGCTGGTTGAAACTTTGAGGTCCAAGCTGGTATGCTTCCAGTTTTGCTCCTGTTAGCCTAAGACAGGCCAAACTTTATGTACTCATGTAGATGTTTCCCTCTTTATTGCTTCTCTTTTGCAGGAAGGTACCCGGCAAAAATTGGTTGTCTCTGATAATAAGGTTCGCCAATTAGAAACCCAAGTACATGAAGAGAAACTGGCATCTGAAAATGGAATGAAGGTAATCAGATAGTTTAATATTGAGTATCATGTTGCTTTCTCATTTCTTGATATCTAGCTGAAAGTATATGCTAATTCATGGGGCAGAAAATAGAAGAGCTTGAACAGGAAACAAGAAGATTAAAGAAAGAGCTTGAGAGTGAAAAGGTAGATATGGGAAGTTCATGTCATTGAATACAAACAATATTTTGATACAAAGGTGTTTTTATGGGAATGATTTCTGCTTTACATCAGGTATCTTGCTAATGCTATTTAGATGAGACTGCAGTGTAAGTTATTGATATTTACAAATGCCAAGACTTTAACTGACCGGTGTTCTTGGTTTAAAGAATGAATAAAAATTAGTAGCTTATAAGTTGCTTGGCTTTCTGATTAGTTCCTTTTTTGTTCTTTTTTTCCTTGGCTTTCTCTTTTTGGGGTGAAATTTCCTTATTTGAAACCGAGATATTTATTGTTGTTAGCAGGCAGCTCGAGAAGAAGCTTGGGCTAAAGTTTCTGTTCTTGAGCTTGAGATAAATGCTGCAATGCGAGATCTTGATTTTGAGAGGCAGAGATTAAAGGGTGCCAGGGAAAGACTTATGCTTCGGTAAGGCTCAATTTTGTTGTCGATTATGATCGTGGGACCTTCTTCAATTTGAAAAGCATGTAGAATGAATAAACACGATTATCTTATTTTGCAACATAGGCTGCACAGACATGCTGGCATAGAATATCAGGACACAGGAAGCACTCTAGCTGCCATACCTCTTTCAGCTACTTGTTTATTGCAATTTTTTGGATTTTTGTGTTATAATTTATAATAAATAATCTTTACATAGATTAAATTAGATAAAAATTCTAATACTTTCTAGTAAAAATCTGCAAAATGAGCATGCATACTATGATTTTATGTACATTATTATTACTTTCATGGATCTTGAATCTTAACTAATTTTTAAACTGCTCTAAAAATAAAATGAGATAAAAAGGATGTAGAAACATTTCAGCAAGGATAGAATTATCCAAAGTTTTAGGGGAACTTAGTTAGATGAGATCTTTAGAGTAATTTTCTGCTGATAAACCCTTTTTCTATTCACACATTGTTCTTCCTTTATTAATATTTGGAGTAAAATCACATTCTAGTCCCTGTGAATGTATGTGTCGGTCACTTGTCATTGACTATATAAAATCCTCACTTTAGTACCTTACTACACAAAAGGTCACTCATTTTAGTTCTTTTCCATTACAATTTTCACAGTTGTTTTGCACTGAAAAGGATTCTAATATGGTAGGGACTAAAGTGAGAATTTTGTAAAGTTAAGGATGCTTACAATTTCAGGTTCTAAAATAGGGGTTTACCCTTAATTATTGAGTGCAAGATCAAAGGTTGTTATATAACTTATATCTATAGTGCTTGTCTGCACAAGCATGTTAACGAGTAACGACTAACTAATTTCAGGGCTTTGATTGTGTTGTTTTGATTAGAATATACACTATTTAGCAATGTTATTTCAATTGCAATAGGGGATCCTAGTGCCATGAGTAGGTGATGTCATTCATATTGATTTGGTTCCAGTTGTATGGATACTAGTCCCCATTAGTTAGCCTACTAGTGCATTGTACTTTGTAAAACAGACAGTTTTGCTTTGTAATGCAACGCGTACACCTGTCTCATTCTACATAATGATTATAGATTTCTAGATTTTGCAGCTGAATCTTTGTGATGCCGTGCAGGGAAACACAGCTTCGAGCATTTTATTCCACTACTGAAGAGATACAAATACTGTTTGCTAAGCAACAGGAACAATTGAAGGCTATGCAGAGAACTCTTGAAGATGAAGAGAACTATGAGAATACTTCTGTAGAAATGGATGGAGTCATAGGTGGACCCTCGGGCAGAGAAAAAGAAGTTGATGGATACCATAGCCAGAATGCTGGCAAGGCAGGGTTAACTACTTCTGCACAGAAACTCAACAGAGATCACATTGAAACATCGAGCAATGAAGCAAGTGTTACTGAGAAGCATGACTGTGATATAAGAAGTGAAGAATGCCAAAATACGCAAGAGGCAGAATTCACCAGTGCTGATCATGACCATGGTGTTAGAGGCGGCTTTGGTTCTGATATTGATGGTGTTGGCACAGCAGCTTTGATGGAGGGAGATGCTGCTGTAGGCACTGAACGAGTTCTCGAAACTGAAAGTCCTACAAATTATGGTGAACAGAATATTGATTTGAACAAGTGTCAAGACGGGGATACTATGCAGTTTGATGAGGATGATAACAATGTACAAGAAACCGAGGAGCATACTCAAATACCTTCTCATGAGGTTTTACGTCATTCACAATCAAATAATCCTGTAGAAACTCAAAAGACCATAGAGGATACAGAAGCTGTGGGCGCAATCAGAACAGCTGACCTTTTAACTTCTGAAGTCGCTGGTAGTTGGGCTTGCAGTACAGCCCCTTCTGTGGATGGAGAAAATGAATCTCCAAGAAGCAGAGACAATATTGAAGGTTCTGGGGATATTCTAGTGGCTGGGAGTCAGAGCACTCCTGATGCTGCCATTGCCAGACATAATGAACGACGAGCACTAAGCGAGATGATTGGCATTGTTGCTCCTGATTTGAGGGAGCAATTTGGAGGATCTGCGTATGATTGTAATCAAGAGAGAGTCCATGGTGGTTCATCTGACTCAGATACTGAGAGTTGTAGCAATAGTAGCAATGATAATAGAGCCAATGCAAAGGGTGGATCAATATCGGATGAAGAAACTCAGGTTAGTGACCATGTTGAAGAGGAAAAGCTGGATGATGCCATGGATGAAGATGATGAAGCCACTCAGGAAGATTGATTTTCTTGGATAGTTGGAGATTACACAAAGATATTTGGGTATGTAAGTTGTAGATGCTGAAGGAATCTCCTGTATTTTTTGGATTACTCATGCTTTCCTTACCCTTTGTAATTATTTATATTTAAGGCATTTTATTGTATTTTATGTATTATTCATTTGGGTTTTCCTTCCATCTTGCTTCATTAAATGCATATAATGTGAGAATAAGGTGTAAGCTTGCAGGTGAATAACAGGCTTACACCTTGGATAACGAGCAAAAGATCCAAGTCCATCTAGGAAAGTACACCTGAATGTTTTTTTAATCTTCAACTTCCAAGCATGTTAATGCATTAATTTGTTGAAAATGACTTTGTTTAGCCGATAAGTTTGCCTTGAATGCTTGGAATGTGAATCTGAAGTTTGTCATGCATGATAGTCCCTCAGATGCCACCTTGCCTAATGATGTTGTCAATATAATATAAATTCTATGGACATGGTTGAAGCGAATAATAGCATATGACAATAGGAAATTAAGCTTTTGCTTATCGTTTATTATGAGGTAAATAAGTGCTAGAATGAAAATCTTATTCGTTGTGATGTATGGTATATAAGAGGGGAAACAAATAGAATTAAACGAGGGTCACGTAAAAATGAAAGATAAATAGTTGAAAAAACCCCCTTATATTTGGGATTTGTTATGCACGTTCCAGCGTTTAAATGCTCCTCTTTATCCTTGTTTGGCATCTAAGAAGGGAAGAAAATGCTAAAATGAAATCTCATGGGTCATGACAAAAAAAAAATCTTATGGGTTTTTTGGTATGTGGGAGGGGCAAAAGAATGGAATTAAAGAAGTGTTAAGTTAAAGGAAAGATAAATGGATGAAAAATCCCCTTATATTTGGGATTTGGTACGAGCGACATCAGACAAATAAGCCCAGTATAAATCTTGACGTGGATCGTGTTGTAAATCTCAATATCCATGATCAAATGACTATGGAGCTTGAGCCTCAAATTTAAATGCTCAAACTCAAACTCTTTCAAGAATAAAATCTTTCACTTTAGGGAAAAAAAATAAAATAACCCAAACCATTTGTTTATTAGAAAAACTAATTTTACCATCAGATCACTTATTAAATTGATTCGATGTTCCATATAGTTGAGTATCAACAGCACGTTCTTGCTACATAATATTTCGAGTGGAAAAATAGCAGCATAAACAAATTGCTACTGTGAATGTGAAGATATTGTCGTGTTAACAAAGCTCAAACAATTATCTACACGAGAGCTATTAAGTATGTTAACTTAGCTATACTCAAAGGACCAGTACCATAAGATATTAATTTTATAAAATAAAAAGTACGAGTGAAAGTAATATATCAAGTAGTATCAGTACGAAACTTCCCATTACACAATTTAAGGTTCTAAGAAAAACTAAATTTATAAACGGTTTTTCAATATCAATCTTTAGAATTAATTTTAAATAATTAAAATTAATTTTTTTATCAATAAATAAATCATTATTATATTAAAAATGTAAAAGTGTTATTTATACTTTTATTTCTAATCAAAACTAATAACTTTTAGATACTCAAAACTAACCTTATTCTAACATTTTTCATTTATAAAAACAAGGTTTAAAACTACAATCATAAGAGGGAGAAGGAATCACAGTTAATAAAATTCCCACAGTTCCCACAGAACAAAAAGGAAGCGAAAGTGTATCAGAATTTCACATTCAACTTTTGTTCCAACAATGTATTTGTGACAAGTAGATAATGTTCATATATAATAGTTCCAAATTTGTTACGATATGTTCTATAATTAGTTGACAGATATTTTATATATATGCAAATACTATATTGTAACGTGATGGCAGCTACTGTTTCCCTGTACTGCATGAGATTCCAGGCTCTGAAACTATCTATCTGGTGGCAAATTCATAGAGCTATAATTGTACATGTTTAAAAATGTCATGATGATGATGGTAATAGAAGACGGGCTAAGTGATGATGATGATGAGGATGTGTACCAATTTTGAAGGCAATCAATGGCAGTGGATAATTGAGTGGCAGAGAGTAAGATCATAGATTTCTTATTTGAATGTAAGGGAAATTGTGATGTTGAGGTGGACCACATAGTTGATAGTGAGAGGTGAATGAGCAAACAGTCAATACATAAATAGTGCATGTGAAACTACAGCTCTTCTCCTACTCACTTCAACTTATAATTATCTATATACTTCTCTTATGCATATCTTTATAATATTATACAAGAATGTTAAAAAATACTCATTTTAATATATTTTTATCATAAATTTATTTTTAAAAATAAATAATTTACAAAATAAATACTTTTTAGTAAATGGATCAATCTTGGGATATAATTGAGAGGGTATGTTTTAAAAGAAAATACTTTTAACATTTCTTGCATTCTATTAGCTTATTTTATGATACCTTTCACCATTCTTTGATCAAATGCAAAAAGAAATTTGATATATATTACGTATGGACATTTTGGCCAATTGAAAACTCTCTATGCTTTTTTTTGCCCCTAATGAAACAAGGGTAACAAAATCACAGAGACTTTAATAATTAATGTAAAACAAATTTATGCAAAAAAAATGGTTCTTTTCTATCTATATGAAAGACAATTATGCATGTATGGTCGAATTTACATCATAAAGGGAACCTTAAACCAATTGGAATCATAACAAACGATGTAATAGGAAAATCATATATTCAACCCGAGGCAGGAGAAACTTGAGAGATATGACAGAGTACATATTTTAGAAACCAAATTAAACTATAGTTCAGCAATAATACATATTTATTATTTTTTAAAAAGACATTTTTTCAATTCTTAAACAGGATTATAAAATTCCTGTTCTTTTTAAGAGGGTACTTAAGTGAAAAAAATGGTGTAAAGATTTCTTTTTTCGTGAGCTTTAGTGAAAAAGGTGATCACAATCAATTAATTAAGTAAAGTTGCTTACTTGTCTTTTTTTCGGTTTTACAATATTACGTGTGAGTAAAATATTTGAGGATACGTTGTTCACCTATTAATTATAAGAAGAAGAAAAACCAAGGTTTATACCCTTCCTTCAATATATATCACTAACTAATCTTAAATGCCACAAATGTCACATGCACTCAAAATTAAAAATCTTCTCCAAAATTATATAAAATATATAGAGATAAGCTGTACTCCTATTAACTATTCACCAAAAACGTAGGCTATAATAAGATCATCTTGAAAATGGGGAGGGATTTTGATATCATAGTTGACTACCAACATCTTCTTCCCCGTAGTGCAAGTATTTTGGAGGTAGTAATACAAGAAATGAGTGAAGGCTTGTGGTCCTTGTCCTCATCAAATGGCTCAACCTTCCTTGTTCAAAAGGGTATGATGAGGGGCTCAAGAACAACCCATCTTTGAAATCTTTGGCAAGATCAACATGTAAAAGTATTTACACAAAATTACGCTAGCATGAAAAATGATACAAATCAACATCAAAATATAAAGTATTGCAAATTACTCTTTTCTCCCTCTTCTTTTTTAACTTTCTAGCTTCTCTACAAAATGAAAAGGATTCCCCTTTGAGATCAAAATAACCCCACACGCTTTGCCCTGGTATGACACTTCACTTTCCTAGCTACATCATCTCCACACATTAACTCTACCTATATGTCTCATTCATGCTTTTCATCCTAAATCTAGGAGGGGAATACTTATGTACTTTGCATAAATTAAAACACAAAACAATCAATTTTATACCATATTGGTTTAGTACTATCTATCATTTGAAAAAAAAATATTTCTCTCTCACAAATTTATTATGAGCTATATATACACCAAAGTAATTTTTTGTGCCGCCAACAAGCTAAGGGGAACATGTGAAATGGCTTAGTCGAAGTTGGACAAGAATACTAGCTTCCACTATATACCATCATGATATATAAACAAAAACCATCCAATGAATGTGAGAAGGGGGCATGGTGGTCATGATGATAGGGAAGAAGATGAAGCCAAAATGGGGTTCATTTTCCAAATAAATGAGCATGGCTTTGGTACTCAATTACATGAAGAAAAGGGACAAAAGAAGGGACCTAACTACATTGACTACTTACCCCCTCCATATCCTCATTACCTCTATAGAACCTCTAACGATACTCCACTCATTTTCCATTGGCTTCTTCTAACGCACATGTGACTTTCACGTGCAACTCCATGTGACTCTTCTTTTGAAGTTGGACTTAGATTAGATGGTGCCTCTAAAGTAACATATACCCAATTCTTTTAGTTAAATAATGATATAATTGATATTCTGTAATGAAGCTATATCTAATTGGTCTTTAATTTGACCGGGATATCTAATTGGTCATACTTTGTTTCTCCAAAACCATTTAGTTCTTAGTGATTAGCTAGACAAACAGGTTGACCATTATATAGGTATGAAATTAAATAATAAAAAAATTTGTGGTTATGTTTTCTTAGAGAGAGAGAGAGTAAAAGATTAAGCATAATGACAATGTTCTCACGGCTTAAACTTAATACAATCCTAACACGTAAAGACGTTTCCATGATGTGAAAGAGAGAAAAGAGGATTAGAAAGGTTGGGTCTGCTTTAGAATACAAAACCCTTTTTTTTCCGTACTTTAGACCACTCTTGCCGATTATTTATAAACAGATAAGAACTTTTGACCATGCCTTGTTTATAAGGTTCTGTTAGCCTTTAAAATCAAGTTTAAGTGTTTAAAATTAATATTTTTATTAATACATTTAATATATTAAATGTATTTTTTAATAAAATTTTACTATTATTAATTACTTGTAAAGGCTGAGTTAACACTTCTCTTGTTTAATAAAAAATACTTGTTATTTGTATGTATACATGTAAACACATATGAAGGACAAATATGTCTAAAAAAATAATATTTTTTTAAAAAAAATTGTATCAATTTTTATTGTGTCTAAAAAAATGTTAAAAACCATTAAATATAAAATAATAAATATTTTAAAGTCATACAAAGTATGTATTAAAATTTTTATAATTTTGAAGTAATAAATATTTTTATTTTTAATAAAAATTTATTTTTAACTTTATGTGTCTTTGAACACATTTCAATTTTTTAAAAAGTCCTATATTACGGACCACAAAAAAAATCTTATGAAAATATTAAAAAATATTTTCTTTTACAAAAATTTTCTGTTGTTGACTTTCAACATAGTGCTTCTTCTCCAATGGCACCTATATGTTGGTACTAGGGGAGTAGATTTGACCTAATCCAACATGTATAGGTATAAACTTTCAGTTAATACTATAAACTTAGAATTGAAACACATTAATCGAGGGTACATGATAGAAGGAATTAATGTCATTTACAAATCTCACCTATAACAAGCTTAAATTTTTAAAATTTTCCTATCCATAGAATATGCCTAGAACCTAACACTGGTTACCAAATTTGGTTAGCAAAAAAATAATCAAATTGCACTATTTTTAATTTTTCTTTTCTCTTGTAGTCATCATAATCATTCATAATAAAATATTGACTACTGAAAAGGTCTTATCAATTATACATGTATGTATAAAATTTCTATGACATTAAATTCAAAAGGTGACATCCTTAAGAGAATGTTAAGGATGCTCATTAATGTGAACATATTTAATGCACTTTATTGTTCATTTACTGAAGACAATGTATAAACTTACTAATTAGGCTATTCTCCCTTATGGAAATTTTGTTCTATTGGGTTTTGATACTAATGAGCCTACTCATTATTATCAAGCACTCATTGTTCCTCTTTCTAAAGGTAAACATACGATTGGATATAAATGAATTTATATGTTCAATAATTATGCAAACAAATTGGGGACTTTCATTGGACATTAACATGCATTTCTCAATAATATTTTATAGTTGGCCATGGTTGGAAATGGAGTTTGGCAAAAGGCAAAAGTTTTTGCTTCTCACGAAATTGCCAACTAGCTATAAATCAGTTCATTTATTGTTTGAAATAGACATCTAGACAATGTTTCAATAAATTTTCTATTGCATTATTCAGCAGTGGCTTTACCCACTCAAAATCATACTACGTATATTCACTATTCGTACTAGAGCTTCATGTGTCGCTTTGCCGGTTTATGTTGTTATATTATTGCAACAAATTATACATACTGACAGAGATAGAGTTACTTTTAGAGTTACTCATCTTAAGGATTTTTTATAAATTTTAATTTTTATTAATTTAGTTTTTAAATAATATAATATTAATATATTGTATTAAATTTTAAATGAATTAAACTTCATAAACATAAAATATATAATCGATATTTATTTATATTTTAAAAATTACATTAGACGCTAAAACAAAATTATTTAATGAACTATCAATTATTTTGTATTATGCTTTTTTTATATCTATATCTATTCTAGAATGGTTTTAAATTTAAGAATTTCATTAATTAATTTTAATATTTAGAAATAGATTTTAAATAAAATAACTCTAACAAAAGATCTCTTGAAATAACCTAATTTCTTCTTTCTCTATCATGTATATATACCCTACAGCATTGATTATGTGAACCACAGTGCAACAACTATTCAAATTAAAAGTTATTGGCAATAGATATTTCCTCGGGATGGAAATTATTCTAGAAAGAATTCAAAGAAGTTATCTGTAATTATACTTTTTCTCTTTTTGAGGATACACGTTTCTTAGGATGCAAGCTTGATGCTCTTGCCATAGTTCCTAACATTTCTTAGTAGAAACATTATTGACCTATTATTATATCTGCCCATATCAAGATCTTATATCTATTATGTAGTTAATGAACTCACTTTCTTGCCAACCCAGGACTTCTATTTGGAGTAATGCTATTTTTTTAAGAAATTTTCGTAAATTTTACAATTAGAAAAGAGATACAAAGAGGAGAAGCAGGGGAAAAGTGTAGAATAAGATAAATGATGAAATGAAAATCAAGCAGGGATATAGACAAAAGATTTACTATAAAGTATAAAATAACACATGTATCTTTCTCGCCAAACCCCTTTTTTTGTGTGTGAAAATTTTCTCATACATTTGCACGGTAATGTTCTAATGAGTTGGAAAAAGGTAACTCAGAAAATATGAATAGAAATAATGTTACTCATATATTTACGTGTTGTTCATCATCTCCTACATCAAATCCACCTTCCTTCTCTTAAACATCCGAATTAGTTAACAAAACATATAATTTTGATTCCTCTATCTACTGTTAGTTCACATGAAAAAGTGAACCTTTTCTCATCCACAATCTTTGGAGATGTATACACTGTGGAACAACAAAATGTTAGCTTTTCTTTTATCAAAAAGCCCTTGGCGGTTAGCTTTTGTATCCATGAGAGTGTGGCATTTGTGCTACATGGGACAACCTGAAGAAAGTGGGCAACCACAAGTCTTAACTACGGAAACTAGAAGCAACCATACAATGGCCCATTTTAAATGAACCTGGAGTAAATGCATGTTACCCATGTTGAATATGATGTCACACTTATCTTCTATTCTACCATAATTAGCACAACTAATTTGATTACAACCCACATGACTTTTATGACTACTTTTCTTGCTTTGAAGATCCCACAGCAAGAGTGAGAGCCTAAACGGTCTTAGAAACTGAATGGGAAACTTCTAAATATGAAAAAGTGTAAATCAACTCAACTTAGAGAATGGGTACGGTACTTTTGTATGTGACTATGTGCCCCTCCAACTCATCTCAATTTCTTAATGTTACCCCCCACCCCAAGTTAGACTCTGAATCAAAGCAATCAAAAAGGCCTAGAAAGAAGAGTGGCATTTTTCTTCATCCCCTTATGCTTTCTCCTCATCTATTGCTGCCCTTTGTAATCATGAGTCCTTGTGCCATCATTGCTATAAAAGTCTCTCTCTCTCTCTCTCTCTCTCTCTCTCAGATACAAACACAAAATCACAGCTATATCACTTTTCTTTCACCCTAATAGTTTCCTACCAAGTTTCTTCTCACCTATAAAAACCAACCCCTTATAGCCTAATTGTTACGCCTCACTATCGTCTCATAGTTTCTCATTTTTGTTTATTTGTTGTTGTTATTATTATTTCAGTTTTGCAAGAGAACCTTATCTCTCACTTATACCTACCCATTTCTTTGATTATGTGTTCTTTCACTTCAAAACAAACCCTTTATGGTCCTCTCTTTTTGGCACTTCCTCGTTCTTCAAGGGCATCTAAGAGACACCACAGGCACCTTCGGTTGGGCCTCCTCAACAGGTACTGTTCTATATATATAGTATAGTTTTCTCTACCATGTCTTTTTGCTGTTTTTTATGCATATAGTTTGTGTTCATATATGTGCATGTTTTGCGTGTGTTGTAACATTGGCTTGTGTGATGAAACAGAAGGAGGGCACAGTTGAAAGAAGCAACACAAAGGAAAAGGATGGTTGTGGTGAAAGCAGAGATTCAGATGAAGAACTTGAAGTTGTACATGGAGAACCAAACCATCATAGAGGAGAACGAGAAGTTGAGGAAACAAGCCATGCTTCTGCACAAAGAGAATCAAGCCCTCTTGTCTCAGCTCAAAAAGAAGCTTTCAGAACAAAACAATTCCAACAAATAACTAGCTAGCTGTTAGCTTATATACATACAGGTTGTTGTAGCGTGGCCAACAGTAGGAAAAATTGAAGGGACTGTATCGATGATCCTTTTCTCATATCTTAAGCCTATATCTTGATTTTGCTTCTTTTTTTTTTTTTTTTGGGTTGGGTCTTAGTTCGAGGTTGGATTAATTAATTTTCTAGCAATAATTTTAGAGTGGTAAAATAAGATAAATAGGTAATATGCCAATTGTAAGCATTACATGGAATATAGAATTGCGCAATGCTGTATTAGTTCAAATTTTCACTGTTTGTTAGGTTTCTTGAGTGTATGTTTTAAGAGAATGACTGAATAGTTAACGGTGTCTGAGCCTTTTCCTCTTATGGGTATAATTTAACTAAGATAATAAATCATTTATAATTATATATTTTAATTATAACCAACTTGATTGGTGGAAGAGGTGATACACAACACTTAATAGCTTACATGTCTTTGTAATTACATTGTTGTACAAGGGCAGGGTAGAGAAATCACAGGTTTCGACTACTTGATTTGATGCAATCACAATGGCAGCATTGTCAAATGAAACGTTCGTTGTCAAGAGCAAAACACATTCAGTTCAATCAAAAAGAGATTCAAGACCCAATATCATACATAATCTTCCTATGTAGCATGTTTCCGTTTATCATAGTTAAAAGTTACTGGCGGATATGGCTGCACTACACCGAAATGTATAACATGCAAAATTCTTGACATAAAGGTCCTATTTGATGTACAACAAAACTCAATTTCTCTCATCGTGCACATGTTCTAACAAAAAAATTTAGCTGACATTAGTTTATAAATACATTCTAATTACGTATAACAACTCTAAATCAATTCTATCAAAATCACTTTTATCCAATATGAAGACAAACGGGTATTTGGTTTCACCATCCAACACTGAAAACAAGGAGAAGGAAAGCTAGGTATTGTTCTCCATTTATTACTTCACTACTTTCCTCTTTCACCGAGTATCTTTATAAGGGAGCAACAGTCACATATTCAGGTGTGCGTTTATTATATGTTAACTGTCACACAGAATAGTGTAAGGGTAGAAAATCAGGAATTTGTTCATCATATGATGTTTCACTGCTTTGATGTTCACCTTCCACAAATTAAGCAGGGTTCTGAGTTCTATAATTACATAAGTGAGTTTGTGTCTGTAAAAGGATGTTTGCCAGGATTGAAACAAGGTTAATACAACATTCAGTAGCATTGAAAATTCCGAACAAACTTGAACCAGTTTCCAACTACAAAGTACCCAGTCAAAAGAAACAAGATGATCACTACAACAGAGTCATCTGGTTTTTAAGTTTGGCAAAAATCCTAGAAAGGATACAATGAGCCTACAACTTAAATTAATAACGACTAACCAAGAAAAAATCGTCATCATCAAGAACCTCAACATCTTTATTTCCAACAAAATGCTCTCGACCGATTTCCTTCACCAAATTGGCAAATTCTATCCTTTTCTCTACAGGGAGAGGTACAAAAGGTAGCCTAAAAACGGGCCTTACAACCCCAAGTTGGGCGAGTGCGGTGTTCAAACCAATGGGGTTTGGCATGTGGAAAAGCCAGTCAATCAAAGGCAAGAGCTTAGAATTTAGTGTAGGGTTTTTGCCTCCAAACATGAGGTCTCGCATCAAACCAGGAACCAGGTTGCTTGCAACAGATACCACTCCAGTAGCCCCATAACCCCATCTAGCATCATGGCATTGATCATCATTCCCACTCCACACAACAATTCCATTATCTGTATACAGTTTGATTCGATCATTTCCCACACACTCCTTCACACCAGCCAAGTAAGCACTTTCAGCTAAGGTTTGAATTACATGCGGAGGAATATCCTGACCAGTCCTTGAAGGCACATTATAGATGATTGTGGGCCCCATGGAAAGCACACTTTGAAAGTGAGCAACCATACCATCCAGAGAGGTTTTTCCATAATAGGGGTTTATATGAAGGGCAGCATGCATTCCAACAGCAAAACCCTGCTCGGTAGCATGAATTGCTTCCCTGGTGGAGTTGCTTCCAGTATTTCCAATAACCTTAATTTTCCCACCAAAACAGTTGACTGTATGTGCAATAAGCATTATGTGCTCTTCCCAACTCATTAATTGGCCTTCACCAGTTGTCCCACCAACAATAACGCCTTCAGCTCCTTGTCCAATCTGCATATTCACCAAGTCATCATATGCTTCAAGGTCAAATCGACCATCAGGCAGGTATGGAGTTTTGATGGCAGTTATCAATCTCAGACACTTAATATCCTCTGCAGAAGTCCTGCAAATACAATACACAACTTCATTTGTGCAGATTATTATGATCTAGATTTGCAAACGAAACCAGCAACACAAATAAGCAGTAACGAAGGAATAAACACACACATTTTTTTAATACACTCCTTAGAATACATACTAACTGTGCAGATCAAAGAAACATATCTAGATGACATACAACTTATAAGCTGTGTATATTCAAACCAAATCTCAAAGTGGATGATAAAGGGGAGAAAAAAAGCAAATTTAGTTCAAGGTGTAAATTAGTGTCAGAACATTGCTTAAAGAGCTAAATGTATCACAAATTAGAATTGAAGATCATTGTGTGTCTTCCAGAGATCCTACCCATAGCATGCATCTTAGAGTCCCACCTAATATATGATACGCTCTTAACTCCATAATATAAGCATCATAATCTAGGTCATGAAAAGATAAAAACAAATGAAAAATATAGTCAAGTAGGAAAAATGAATGATTTAGAACAGTAGATTTCAAACCCACCTATTTTTCAACTCAAAACTGCGCATTGGGAGGTGGAAATTGGGTTTCACAGCTGCTTGTGTAGGCTTCCAGAAGGAGCTCCTGATTGATAACGACAAATTTTTAACATCAAAATTCAAACATAAAATAAAAATAAAATTGGAAAGATTGGTATTTTATGCAGTGCAATTGGTGTGTATTCCAAAAATGACAATGACAAAACAAAACCATATTGAAACCAAAAAACCAAACAATGCAAATATGAAAACAACAAACATTAACCTTCACTAAAATTTGACAAAGTATAGAACAGTTACCCAAATTATCAAGGTATAGACAAAGTTCACTCGTGGATGAATGCACAGCATCGCTTTCACTAGTCAATCGTTTTAGTACCTTTCATTATGCCAAACAAAAAAGCATCCTTGCCCATGAAGAACTGGGAAGAGGTAATAGAGGTATGACCATTTGGTCAAGTTGGAAAATGACAAAGCTACTTTTAATGTGTCTATATACATTGGAAGAGAAAAGGGCCTCCCAGTTCATTACCATCTTATGTCTCTAAAACTCATTATGATCCTCATAATCAATTATTTTAACATATTACTAGATTGACATCAATGAATGGTATCATGCTATTACCTAAATGTTATAAAAAAGCACAATAATCTAAACAATGGTAATATGTTTACTGAGAAAAGAAAAAAGGAGAAAACCCTATTATGAAAGCCTTTAAGGCATAGTTATCAATAGTGGCTCGTCCTAAAAACACTATGGCAGTATGGCTGCTATTCTTAAGACTAGATACAAGCTATACAATTCATATTACTGATATAGAAATGCTCAAAGAAATTACACAAGGTGAAAGATATTATTAGAAATGATGTAAAAAAGTAATATGGGCTGCTTTCAAGTTGTGTATTATTATGTAATTACGGTAACTGTAAATCCTTTTACATTATGTCTCTTAGTATATAAATAATATTCTCCATTGCGTAATTCCGCATGGATTCCATCACGTCACCTGTTTCTTTCCACTCGCAACAGAAACATTTATAATCAATAATCAAAAGTCAAAAGTCATATTCTTAAGCCAAACACACAAGTCAACAACAAAAATAAGAAATAAAACAAATGTAAGCCTCCAAGCGATGATGCTACAACTGCTTCAGGGGATACCAATGAAGTAAGGGACAATTAGAACTTATCACAAAGATAGAGCAAAGGGTGTGTGAGAGGTAGAACAAAATGAGGACTTAGGACAAAAAAAAGAGCAGGGTGGGCGACAGAACAAAGGCAAGGGAAGTGCACAAACCTTTCTTACAATTCCTGTGAGAACTAACATGTGTAGAGGATGGGCAAACAATTGATAGAACAGATATGCGCAAAACATGTAATGTAAGTAATACGGCCAGACCTTGCCAGCAATGCCAAGTTTAGTCAGCAACAACATCGGGAGCACTGGGTGGTGGTTTGGGTTGAAAAATGTGAGAGAGCAGTGCATGCGTGTTGCATGAATAAAGCTATGAACAAGTTCTCAAAGAGATTTTTGAAATTCATCACAATTGTGCCACTATAGCACACTCAATGCTATGATTTTAGTTGACCAGACAGCCACTACTTAATGATGTTCCATTGTCTGAATCTTGTAGCACCCCAGCAATGCTTCGCTACGCGACACTGCTATAGCTCTCTATTGACTACTGTGCTCTAAATTGCAGAGGATGAATCCAGTTGATTTAAATTCAAGTGCCTCACGAACAAAACCCAGTTTAATTCAAAGGTGGATTCCCATTCACTCATGCACTTCAGAGATTTCTTAAACATTCATCAAAAAACTCACTGAAACAAACATGCAGAACTGAACAACCTCAACAACACCCTTTTTAATTCCTTTAGATACAGATTCAGACATCCATAATCCACATATATAAATCAAATCATAAGTAAAAAATGTTCAAAAACATAATCCATCATGGAAAATTAAAAAAAAAAAAAAAAAAAAAAACGTAGAACTTGACATTCCAAACCAAAATTTCAAAACACCCAAAAAATAAAAGGAAAAAATAAACACATCAAGGTACGATATAATTCATGCATGTTTTGTGGGACTAATTACAAGCACAGAAAATAACAAAAATAATAATAATACAATAAAATAGAACCTGGAGTTTCTATTATTGGTGACATTGGAAGGGGAAACCGGAAAAGCGGTTCCTCTTAGGCAGAGAGTGCTATAGCTCTTCAATATGGCCATCACTTCACAGTTCAGAAGAAAAGAATCCGAACCCGAAAACGAGACCCAAAGACCGATCCGATTAAAGGCAAAGAGGAAAACCCTAAAACGGCGTCGCTTGGTGGGTTTGCGCGGAGAGAGATCTTAGTGTTAGATGAGGATGATGGCGACAGTAGTGGAAATTAAATTGGCGGCGAAGAGAACTTTGCTCTCTGTGCGACTGCGAAGTGAAAACCAACTGAAGGTCCCTACTCACCAGTTGCTTAATAAAGTATATTTTTCCTTCAAATTTTAAATATATATTTTTTATGCTAATGTTATTAAAAATTATAATAATTTATATTATATTAAAAACGTAGATTTAACTCGATCTAAAAATTAACTCAAGAAAAATATCAACTATCCAACTAACTTAGACCATGATTTTAATTAAATATTTTGGACAAACCATAATTTTAGTATTTGAAATAGTATATATTAAGTATTTTAATTTTAAACATTTTAAAAATGTTGCGTTAATTTTTATTTTTATTTATATTTAAGATTTTTAAAACATCAAACATTTTTAATTCTTAATATTATTACTTATTAAATATTTTAGTTAAGAATTCTTTTAAAAAAAGTTATTTACTTATTTTTTATTTTTATTCTTTTTAAACTATTATTATCAAATATTATTGTCATCAATTATCATATGTGTACGCATTTTTTCAACAAACTTAGAGAAAAAAATACTCACTTCGATTACCATGCTTGACAACTTTGAAATCTTGAATCTTTTTTTCTAATGTATTCAAAGGTAACATACTTTCTTCCACTGGACTTGATTTCACTCAAATTTTTTATTTATTTTCAATTATTTTTGAGGTTTAATCTAAATTTTATTTATGCATACTTGATTTAGTTCACGTGGATCTAAGTTTATACTAATTTAATAGATTCATTTCAAAGTTCATTTTCAAAATGAAAATCCTTAATGTATCGATTGATAGAAATGAAGTTGTTGATAAAAAAACGTAAACACAAATGATAATTGTTTAATGAGCTAAAGATTATAAGAATTAACAATTAAAATATTTTATATATGATAATTTTATAAACTAAAATAAAATAAAAAATAAATATTACATTATATATAATATTATTTTTGTCATTCAATTAATCATACATTCACTTGTCCATATTTTATTATAGCCTGTTAATTTTATATGATTTGAAAGACTAAAATAATAAATAAATAAAAATTTAGGAATTAGTATGACAATTTTAAAATTATAACAATTTAAATGTCTAATAATTACCATACCAGATGTTAAAGTGAAGGTTTAACCAAATATCTTGATATCTTTTAAGTAAAAAAAAAATATTATTTATGAGATATTATAACACACTCCATCACTTTTACGTGTGAAGTTTACGTTACTAAGTATTTTTAAATGTTTTAATGGGCTCTTTTAATATATTTAAAATTATAATTTAACTTACTTTTAGAATAAAATTATTCAAGTTTTTAAAGTGAGTGAAAAATAGTTTTTAATTTAATATTGAACTTATATAATTTTTAATGTTAATTTAGTCATAAAGTTTATGAATTAGATATTTAATTCTAAATGTAAAAAGTGCTAAAATGTTTTATATTAATTAAGATATTTTTAATAAAGAGTAACAACTTTTTTATTTTAAGTGAATTCTAACATTTAGCATGGTATTAGACTACTTAATATATCACCCACTTAATAATCGAAGACAATACTTGCAGATCAAAATGTAAAGCTCAATAATAATAATAACTTAACAAAGAAGACCCAAAACATATTTAAACTTAAAATATAAGTTCAAATTAAAATTGAATTAAACTAAATTAATTAGCTCAATTCATCTAAAAAAGTGTATAAAAAATTAAAAAAAAGTCATGCATTAATTAAAAATGAAAAAGATTAAAAAACTATTAGTAAAGAGATGTATAAGTCTAATGAAGAGATTGGCAGCTTCTAATTTTTATGATTGACTTCGCAACATTCCTTGCAAAGATCAAACGTTGGTTTTGGTTATTTCGTAGTGCATTTGGAAGGCTCGTCATCGTTTCTGTTTATCTTGGCAACCTTTTAACCCATGCAGGTGTTTCATGAAGCTAGAAACCTCACTATTATTAACTATTATTATTATTATTATTATCTGACGAATAATAATAATAATAATAATAATAATATCTACCAGCATGATTAACATCTGTGTTGCAGTTATATATACGTATTAAAGTTAGTTTATTTTACAATTAAAATGCGAACAAGTTAATACTTTTAATAATTAATTTATGGCTATGTCAATCAATGTATACTTTCAAGAACCAAAGCAATACACATTTTAAAGGAAATTAAATTATATATAAATTTTAAAGAAACGAATTAGTTAAATTTAATTAGGTTAAAATTGTAAAATATTGTACACATATATACTTTAATTTTTTTAATAAATAATAAAAACTAAAAAAATAGAGAAAAATAAAAACTAGCTCAAGTTCATTAATTTGAAAATACATGATTTGATAATAATCAGGTTACACTCCCTTTGCTCCAATGTAATTCATATTTTTTGTTCAGAACTAGTCGAATTAACTCGATATTTGGATTAAATTTATGACCATCCTTCGTAAACTCTTATTCAAATGAAGTTAGCGTCACAAAAATAAAATAAAATTATTGAAACAAATAAAACATTGTATAGACTCAACAAAGGAAATCAATAACAAAATTATTTGAAAAATCTGATAAATTAAAAAAAAAAAAATTTACTTCATCACACCAAATTAAATTTAGTTTAGTTATACTCATAAATGGGACTCAAAATTCAAAAACTCTCCTATGACAACGAAATTGGTCCAGATAAATAAGTTGAAGGCTTCAAACCAAATAAAGAAAAACTAGTTGAAGACTTTTGGACATTTTAAAAAAAATATGTTGGAGACTTGAAGTCATGAATGATGTTCAAGAGTTTATATAAACTAAAATATTAATTGTGTTTTAAAAATAAAATTAAAGTTAATTTAAGTGTAAAAAAATTGTTTAACGTTCTCTTCTTAATTAATTGAGTGGCGGATTAAAGATAGAAAAATAGAGAGAATTCAAATTATTTATTTGAAATGTTATGATAAAGGTTGAAAACTTTAAAAAGCATTATAATAATAAGAATGACAATTATTATTATTATTATCATTGAATATCATAAAAGACTTTATAGTAATAAAAAAATTTCTTCTTTTTTCTGTAGAAAATTTCACTAACTCATTTTTTAATTTATTACTCAAATAGAATTCAAGAAAATTTTTCTCCCTCTTCTAAAGCTAAAGTATTTTGTATCTATTTATTTCTTATTTTGTATGTAGTTTAATTCAGATTGGTTTTTCATCTTATTTAATCCAGATTCAACCTGAATCGTACACTTAAATATGATGAATAAGTCTACCACTAGATAATTTTTACATATACAAATATTTAAATCTGATACTTTCTACCGTTAGATAATTTTTGTACTTAAATCCGATATCTTACTTAAAAGATAACGAGTTGTCTGTTACTCAGACAAATCTTTGTTGGTAAAAAAAAAGTATTTGTATGTATAAGTTTTAGATCTTTTTTATTTTAATTTTTATTATTTTGTATTTTTATACGATAATGTTAAAATCTACACATTTGTAGAATGAATGATCTCAATTGTTCAATTTCTTCTTCTTGGATGGAGGTGACAACTATTCCAAGTAATGTCTTTAGTTGTTGGACTGATGGAAAGCTCAGCAGCAGGAGAGTTTTCTAGCAAGCAACACTTTGTTAGGAAGAATACTCTCTTAAGCATTAAGTTGAATGTATCTAAGGCTCCGAAGTTTCTCTCTTTATATATAGTCATTAGTTATCTCGTGTTTAGATTTTTTATTATTATACATTAGTTATTTGACTAACACCGTATAGGAGAGATTATCTAAAGGAGCTAAATATTTACGTGGGAATTTAGGTGGCTAAGTCCACTACTAACATATTGTTGTTACAAATCAAGAAAAATCATAAAAAAAAAATAAAAAATACTTGGTTTAAATTAATTAGTGATTCCTTAAAAATTAAATTTTGAAATCTATGTTCATATTAAGCAAACTTTTTTATGCTCAGTGATGTAATTGATTAGATTCATGTATTTGTTTTCTCATTTGTGGACAATCAACTATGCTTTATGTTTGAGAGTAAAGGCAAACAAGTGCCCATTGGGTATATAAGGAATGAATAAGGCATATTGGATGCATTAGAAAAGGACATGTTTGATGTTAATGAAATAGGGACACGTTAGATGCAATAGATAGGACATGTTGCGTGTCTATGAAATAGAGGCATGTGGGATGCACAAAATGCACGGATGCGGTGCTTATTTTAATATATTTGATTAAATTTTGTGGTTTTATTAATGAAAGTTTGAAGGGTTTAAGGTTGGAATAGTTGATAGATTCACTTGACAATGCTTTTTCACATATTTTATATGTATACTAAACTTTTCGGGGTACTCAAAAGCGATTAAACCTTTATGATTTTGTGTTGTAAATAACCATATAATCTTGGAGTTTCTGAATATTAATACATAATGTATGTGTGTCTTGCTCTAATTGGTATTAAGAAAATATTTTTGTTCTTACAAGTCTTGAAAAGTTAAACACATGAAACTTGTAAGCAAATATAAATTACATGTAAGACACTATTTTGTTTCAATATAGGAACAATATACTATTATGATATTATCTTAATTGCATACTTCATTCAATTTCTTAATAATTTGACTAATAATTAAGACAATCATTTAGGTTTATATTGTGTTTGGCTGCATCAAACTAATCCAGTTAAGTTAAAAAAGTTATTGAATTCTTTCTCAAATATTATCATATTTAATTAAAATTTAAATTATACATTTCTTCATACTATTTTTTTATATTAAATTAACTTTAAGCATTGATAATATTTTTAATCAATATATAACTTTTTTACAGCTTTAATTTTATATATCTCTTTGTCTAGAATATGACGAAGAAGAGGTATAATGATATACACTTAAAAATAATGAATAAGCAGGTAAAAAAAATAACATGAGAAAAAAATACAAGTCTAAATATTAAAATATTAAAATATATAAATTTAAAAGCCTGAGAAAAATAAAAAAAATTTCACCATAATCAATTAATTTATATTGAAAACTACAAATCTAAAAAT